TTAATGTCATAGACACATGTCTAGTAATATATTTTTAACTTGCTGTTTAAAGTTGTTTTTGGTAAATTACGGATGTGGGGTAGAAGTGCATTATAGAATCAAATACCTATTATTCGAGATTTGTTTATTGAAGTTCTTGCTCGGAACTGAAAAAGACAATATAAATCTTTCTCATTGTAAGCAATTTGTCATAAAACCCAATCCGGTGAAGGTATCCTATAAATTTTCATACCTAATAAAAGTCCAACGGCCCTTTGCTACGCACGATAAAATTTAAACTCAAGTATAATAAACTTCCAAACAAAAATTTCAACACAGAGGTTTCAAAGTAGCGGAACAGATATAAAAAGAGAAATTCTATCATAAACTCACGTAAATTTATAGACGCTTACTCCTAATCCACCAATTCCGCGTTTTAGAGGTTATCGTTATCGACTTTTCTAATTCCATTTCGAGTCAAAGGCGTGCTAGTGTTTTATTTATCTTATATTCAAATTAATTTGTTTAATATACAACAGTAACACGGTATGATAATGATAATGTTACGAGTAGCTCAAAAAGAAAACCGTGTGAGATGACGCAGATCTATAACTACATCGCTTTGATCGTGGATTGTCTAATTCGATGTCGTCATCACAGGTGAAGAAACATGGGTATACTGCTATGATCCCGAAAAAAGCAAGTTATTCTTCGCTATTGTCCTACATGATTATTACACCCTTTAGTATGCATGAATCATACTGATCAGTACAAAAAACTACCAAGATAAAACAATTTCTTTATTATTATTTGTACTGATCAGCAGCGTTTAACAAATTTTTTTTTTGAAACTGCCACTTTCCTTTTATGAAATTTATTATTAGATAATATACCTATTTTTAAAAATTGGTCGTATTATATAGGTATAGATATATACACATTATATCAGTCCATAAAAACAAATATTTTTGGCAAAGAATCAGTAAAGCAAAAATTCATAAATTTACAAAAATAACTCCAGGTAATTTCAAAATTCCAGAATGTAGATTGTTTCAGCACATTCACGTCAATACATTTGGGTCCATTAAACCTTCAGGGGCCCGATTATCGAGTTCACTGGAAAATATTCCCATTGGAAAATATTCCACTAATTATTTTCCCATAGTAATTAATTATGCTCTCGAACATCACGGAATAGACATTCCCATGGAAACCGTGGTTTCACGTATGACTGATATTAGGAATATAACATTCTGAGACGACAAATAACATTAAAGGTAATTGAAGTTTACTGTTGGCAATATTCGTATTAGAACCGGTGTGAACTTAACGAACAATTTTTAGCGACTAATTTTCCGAAAACTGCCGAACTGTCAGTGGCGTCGTAATTATTTTAGGAGGCATTCAAAAAACTGCATGCATCTACCACTAAGATTTGCAAATAAAATTATTAATTTAACAATATACCACTTTATTATTTTAAACTTGGTAGGATACAAAAGAGAAAATAGTCGCAATCAAATATCTCGGTTCCTAGACGTAAAAATATATTTATTTTTTAGCAAGTCGTTTTCTTTAACATATATTGAAAGTGGTACTTGTACCTACTCTATGCTAGAAAATAAATATATTTTTATGTTTAGGAACAAAGATATTTGATGGCGACTATTTTCTCCTTGGGGTTGAAAAACACTCTTTGATCTTGCAAGTCGTTCTCTTTAGGACAGGTTAAAGTGGTATTTGTACCTAACTTACCACCTTAAAAGTCAATTTTCACCACATCAATAAAGGGCAATTTATATCTTTTAACGTACCAAATAGTAATTATAAGGACGTAGGAAATATATGTACAAATATAAAACTTATACAATCACCACCTCAAAAGTGAATTTCCACCACTTCAATAAAGGGCAAGTTATATCTCTTACCCTGCTATGGAATAATTAAGAGGCGGGGAAAATATATTTACAAATGTACAACTTTTACAATTACCACATCAAAGTAATTTTCCACCACATCAATAAAAGGCAAATTATATCTCTTAGATATCCTACCAAATAGAAAGGGCAAGACAAATATATGTAGAAATATAAAACTTTTACAATTACCTCGTCAAATGTCAATTTTCACAACTTCAATAAAAGGTAAGGTATATCTCTTACCCTACCAAAGATTAATTAAAGGGCGTGGAAAATATATTTAGGTACAAATGTACAACTTTCACAATTACCACCTCAAAATTTGGAACTATCACTTCAAAAATCAGTTTCCACCACTTCAATACCTTTTATTATATCAAATAATAATTAGAGGACAGGAAAAATATATTTACCAATATACAACTTTGACCATTGCCACCTCAACGTTGTAATCTACCGCACCCAGGTACCATAATCATTTATTAATTCCATTTTATAAAAAAAAAGTTGCATTCTTATTAAATACCAAATTCTTCATTTAACAAAAATCTCCCAGATAATTAAATCTTATTTACGACACCTAATAAATAATATCTATAAGAGATCCAATTTCTTAAAAGTGTCTGGGAACGCAATCTAAAACCACCATACAACACGAAGTAATAATCATTAAAACTCTTAACGCACTTATCTTAAGTCAGTTTTGAATAGGAATGTTGTTTTCGATATACAAACTTTCCAAGGCAAATAATAAATCAGCCACCCCCCTATCCACCTAAATTCGTATTTTCTATGAGAAACAAAACGATAGAGACGTCACAAAAACGATTAAAATATATATAAAAGCCAGAGTTAAATGAGCTCAGATTCATTCAATTTTTGTCATTTGATGTGCAAGCATACATTTGTTAGTTTACATTCAAAGCAATCACCTTATTGTCAGTACCCAGTTATACAGTCTGTACCTTTCCTAAAACGCTCTTCCTAAACGACGTCTATCCCACAATACCTCCTATTTTCCAAAGGTGTCAACGTCTCGACGCCCAACGCCTCTCCGTTCTACTTCCCTACCTTTCAACATCCCAACAATATCACTTCTAACACCACCTAGTATTTCCTACCATTATATTCATCCCGACGCCCAACGTCTCGACGTCACTACGTCATCTCTTTATCCGACATCCCCATCCGACGCTCAATATCTCATCCGACGCCCTACGTCCTTACTTATCTACCTCCCTGCGTTTGGCGTTCTGCGTCACGACGCTCCTTCTCCGCCCCGCCATTCTAAATTTCGACGCCAACGTCTCAACGTCCCTGCTAATTATCCAAAATACAAAAATATAAAATGTCTGAAATAGAAACAGACGATAATATAAACCCAACGGTCTGTTTATCCGAGGGTGAGTTAATAACAACCAAATTAAAATTATAAAAACGGGAATTTATTGTTGAATCATAATGAGTATTATTCTGTAACTCATTATTATTCAATAATGGTGAATCTTTACCTTTAAGGAATTTATTGCTAGCCGACATCGCATTTAGCTCGTCCAGATGTGTATGCTATGGGCCATATTGCCTTCAAATTAATATATCACCGTAAAAGATAATAAGAGTCTGGTTACCGAACTGTCAATGAACCCTCGCAAATAACAGCTCAGCTGATTGGGGTAAATGACACATCGGACGACTAGACTCACATTTATCCGAATATGCTTGATGTTACTACAGGGTTGGACTATCTTAGATAATTATCTCTTAATCTTCGCACCGTAGGTAGATCTGAACATAAGGGGTAGTTCGCTAGTATTGCTCTGGCTCTATTGTAGTAAGACTACATCTACATAAAACCCCCCTAGGTGAGGCTGAAATATAAGGGATATCCGCCTGTTATTGCAACGACGGTATCTCAGTAAGCGCACCTATATAAAAAAGAAAACAACGAAACAAAGAATTATTAAAGATAGTCCAATTCTGAGGACGTCTGCTGTCTATTCTCAAGAATTGTTTAATTACAAATATTTGATGGCAAGTGGCCTGTGGCCTGTTGTTTGTGCGAGACACATGTGAGGTCTACCTTATATTAAATAATCTGTACATATTTATTTATTGGAGATCAAAAGAAAAATAAATTAAGTTAAATATACTTTGAGCATTATTTCATTCACAAATTTGTACCAAACTTTACATCGAATCCTGGTTTATTTAATTAACATTTTCACAACGTGGGTATATAAATTATCAATTAATTAACTAGACGATTACTACACTACTAGAGGAAAAGGCCATATACATTAAGTATGAATTTCTTTGAATTTCACCAGGGGAGGGAGGTAGTTAAATTAAAATACGGGCTTTTAATAATTATCTACAAGACCGGGGGGTGGGAGGTCACAACGTCAATTTCCACCACTTTAATAAAGAGCAAGTTATATCTCTTACCCTACCAAATGGTAATTAAAGGGTGGGGAAAATGTATCTACAAAACAGTTTATACAAGAAGAACCCAGGCAAACTTAACTTTTAGAGACGCTGAAGATGAAGAAAATTGACGAATGAAAAATTTGGAACCTACTTATTAAAATAAAACCTGATGAAAATTTGCAAGGTTGGCTGGAACACAACTGGCTAATATACGATTAGGTCCATTCCACGAGATAACTAGGTATGGAGCAGAGATGTATGGAGTTGCAATGGCTACACAATATGTATTTGCAATACATAGTAGGCATAGAATAGGGTTGCCACCTTTTTGAAAAGTGAATAAAGAACTACGATGCTGACAGGGGCTCCGGTATACATTGCATCGATAGTGTAGCACTGAGCTACACCATATTTGAAAATATCGTTCCTTTTATACAAATTGTATGGATCGAACGATATTTTCAGAAGTGGCGTAGCTTAATGCTATACTTTCGATGAAAAGGAAAATACCTTATATATGGAACTAGATTTTAAGTTTGATTTATAAATTTAAGGAAAAATTAAACACAATGAGGCACAATCAATATATCCAATGAATTAATAACAGAATTAAAAAGTCCAAACAAAACTGCATAAGTATTTAAATTTTTATTTGTTTAAAAATTACTGTTTAAAATAAATCGAAATAAGGGGCGTCCATTAATTACGTGAGGTTTTCAAGGGGGAGAGGGGATCAAGCTAAATCTTTCAAAATCTTTGTAAATCTGACGTAATTTTTTTCTAGTAGGAAACGGTGTAAAATTGTATGAAAGCAAAATTAAATCAAAGTAAAGAATGTTTCTAGAAAACTAGTTTTTGCTAGTCTTAAATAAAAGTAATAGGACATAGTGTTTTTTTTTTAATTTCTAACGCATTTACACCCAAAACACAAATTTTTTTGAAAAAAAAAAAAAAAAATCTTTCACGTGCGATTAGGGGAGCGGGGAGCGAGTTGAGGAAAATCTTACGAAATCTCACCGGGGAGGGGGGGGGGGGGGGTCAAAAAATCCTCAAAAATACCTCACGTAATTAATGGAAATCGAAAATATTATCACTGGTACTGGTAATATTAATTAATTATACAAATACATGTAAATGGGTTTTATTGTAATGCCTAATGAAATTGATAAAAGTAGAACTTTTAAAACAATGTGTATAATTATTACCTACCTTAACTAATACAAAATGACTAGATTATTTTTAAGCAATGTGCTTAAAAGTCTACTACCTATAAGATATCAAATATTCCAAAAATAACTATTCATTATTCAATATTAAGACATTTTTGGTGATTTTCTATCTACATTTAACTTTATTAAAATCGTCTAAAATATAACATTTTTGAAAAAATGTTATTGTTCAAAACTTTAATTCACCAAAGAGCAAAATTTTAAAGTTTTAAACTTACTTACCATGAATAAGTTATTATCATTATTCTTTTTAAATATCTTTTGTGTAAATTTGTTGAATAGCTGCTCTTAACCTTGTTATATAACATAATCAATTTAAAATTCTACTAAAATAATGGTTACTCAAATTCAGGAATATCATCAAAAGAATAACCAGGCACTTTTTTATAGGCATAGTAAGCAATTCTGACATGATACGCCCCTGGGATGAACATCAAAGCTCCTAAAATAATCATCGGCCACATTCTATTAGCATATTGAACAACTATATGTCCAGATGCGACCATACATCCAAAAACTAATAGACTTGTACCAACTACAAGTAATAAAGTTGCCAGGAGAATTGCTTTCCAAGGTACCTGCTGGGCTGGAACCAGAAATTGGGCATCTGTAAATCCTTGATCGCTTGTGGGAAGTTTGGAATAATTTATATCATTTTTAGCTCCTCTGCGTCTTGACATGGAGAGATCGTCTAAATAATCTAAAAAATTAATTTAGAAATAACTTGCAAAACATACAGAATAAAATAAGCTAAGCCACACTAAATAATAATTATAGTCAATAATGCTCTAAACAGTTTTCAAAAATTTAAATTTTATCAGTTTTCTTTTTATTTTTTTCGGGATGAAAATGATAAGGATTAAAAGTATTATTTTTCAAAATGCCAAAAACTAACTCTTTTTATTTGTAATATATATTTCGTATTTTTAGTGGACTAGTTTATCACGATATCGATCTTTTCCTTTAAATTCGGTCAATCGTTCGTGTGTATTTTCCTTCTCCACTTTGCCCTATTCTGAGTTATTTAAATACCTATTCCCTTTGCCCTCACATTACTACTAACAGTAGCTTCTCTTGCATCTCCCCTCAAGATGTAAATTTGCCGCTTTTCTATTGGAACATACTTTTCTTCTCTGAATATGTCTCAACCATGTATATTTGTCTTATTTTCACACCAATATACACAACCCCTTAACTATTTGTAATACGTTGAAATTTTTTTGACAGGATATTTATGATTCTGAAATAGATATTGAGGGATATAAAAGTTATAGAGTTGACAGTGAAAGTAGGTATACAGGGGGTGCTTTAATTTATGTACAAAGGGAACTGAAACTTTTACAATATTTTAAATTTTGTATTTCAAAAATTTGTTGAATTGTCTCTGTGAGAGTATTGTAATAATTGGCATTATTATTAATTGAAAAAATCTAAAGAATTTACCAAAAATTCTAAATAAGTATTTAATGTTTAAATTAAATAATTAAAAAAACACGTATGAAAATGAAACAAACCTTCAGGTATTAATCTACATTGAACGTGACATTTTTAAATACAATCAATCAACCATCACGTAAATTTTGGTTTATATAAAGAGGAGACAGAAAGAAAGGATCACTTGGGTAAACTCTCAGTCGGGTTCGGACTAAGGTCCAGAACTTTCGCCCCTTGGGCGAAAGCCCTCGTTTTGGTATAGTTTTGTGTACGATGTGAATTATGGGTAAATATTTTAACTTAATTTTAAAGTGTTTTTGTTTAATATTAATTGATTGATTTACATATAAATGCCAATTTTACATTTTCGTCCCGAATTATATTTATCTTATGCATATCTTTATTACTATTAGTTATAGTGCTTTATTCCCTAAATGGAATTTTATTCATTTTTTTCTTAAGACTATTTGCCAAGTTTTATATTTATGGTTAATATACATTTGTTAATGTTTTAATACTTATTATTAATCTCTCCTCCCTTTCCAACCCAGCAAAATACTCCGAGCATTTGAGAAGCCTCGGCGTTTCTATTCCTTTAGGACTAAAAGAGTCTAAAACTAGTTGCCAAGAACCGCTCGACATATGATATTAAGGGATGTTTTTTTGTATTTAATTTTTTCTTTATTATTTTTATTTGCCACTGGTGAATGGATGTTCCTTCAGGACTCTAGGACCCCTTTGGCTGGTGACGACGCTGTCCTAATCCCTTAATAGTATATTAACAACAGCAGCTAAAGACCTTTTGCAAATGGTCTTTAGGCTTCCTGGTTGTTACAGTATTAATAGAAAACAAACAGTTTTTAATTGTATCATTATATAGATCATCTAGAAGTAGTTGTATACATTTTTTAGATTATTTCAACACTTGGGTTGAAGAAAATATGTGATAATTCTCCAATAGTTATTGTTTCTGGAGATTTCAATATTAACTTGTTAACTAAAACACATACAGCAAGAAATTAAACGTATTAGATTCTAAAGTGCCAAAAAACGAATAAAAATATTTCTAAGATACAAAAAAGTGGTGGAATGAAAAAGTAAAAGCTTTCACAAGGTACAGAGATCTGGCATATAAAAAATATTCACAAGAAAGAACTGAAAATACGTAGAAATAGGGCCGTTAATGTAATTAGAACAGAAAAAGTAAAAATATTTACAAAATTAGGGGTAATTCCAAGGAAATGTGGAAAACTCTAAAATGTCTGGTCCCAAAAAATATAAATTAATGATTTAATCGAACTTGAACTAGAAAATAATGTGATAAAAAATATTTTTGGCATGCAAAATGCTCTTAATAAATTTTACATAGACAGTATCCAATCGATTGCTAGTATGATTGATCATAGATTATCAAATTTTAGACAAACATTTTCTTGGAAACTTTCAACTATGTACGGTGGGTTTTTAGGAGAAATTCTTTTTGGAATGAAAATAAAAGTAGCACAGATGGCTTTAACCTTAATTAAAAAAAAACTGTTTTTCCAACCTCTCATAACCACTTCTAAATATAATGAATTCGTCCTTAGAAATATCAAAAATACCAAATGGTTTTAAAATTGCTACAGTACAAAAAAAAACACAAATAAAGCTACTGATTTAAGACCTATTAGTATGTTAAGTTGTATTCAAAAAATCCTTGAAAAGGTCGTTTATAAACAAATTGTTAAATTTTTAGAACATAATAAACTTATTACTCATCTATGCAGTGTATTTTACATGATTGGAATCATAATTTTGATAAAAACTATCAAACTTTGGCTAATTTTATAGATCTCCAACGGGCATTTGAAACTGTTGTTCAAAACCGTTTGATAACAAAATAAAAAAGTATGGGTATAGTAGAACAAGCATTGGAGTAGTGTGTAGATTATCTAAGTGACAGGAAACAAAGCTTAAAAGTAAATAACATATCAAAGGGGTTCCACAGGGAAGCATATTAAGTCCCTGTTTGTTTTAGTTTATATGAATGACACTGTTGATGTCAAGGGTCAATGTGACATTCACCTATTTGCTGATGATGTCCTTATATATGTTTCTTGTAAGGATTCAGATAATTTAGTAAGAGTTGTTAATGAAACTCTGAAAAATGGTGTTGCAATAATCCATTAAAAATCAACACAAATAAAACAAAATGTATGCTGGTAAGTAATAACTATGGCTGTGTGGAGAAAATTCTATACAATTGGAGAAAATTCTATACAATTAGTAGAAAAATTCAAATACTTAAGGGTAATGATTGACAAACAGATGAAATTCACAGACCATGCCAACTCTGTCATCAGAAGTTTCACATTTAAGTTAAATTTCCTATATAGAAATTCATTTAGCTTATCACATAGGACTAAGTGCATTATATATAACACTATAGGTTTGTTTGGCTTTCTCTAAAATTTGAGAAAATTATCCGAAATCCAGTAGAACAGTTGAGTAGCAAATTATTCACCACAATCAACTTTACAACAGTCGACTGGTCAACTAGTCCTCTGACAGTTCTTAACATGTTTTTGAAGCACCCAAATCCTAATCATTCTACCTCACTTTAATTATTGCAGAAGCTGCAGAATAGGGCAAAGCAAATGATATTATCTTTCTCAAAATATACTCCTACAAATCTAATGCTTGAAACTTTGTATTGGGTATCAATCAAGGAATGCATTTTTATCTTATTTTAAAAAGCAAACATTTTGTCAAAATGTCAATTTTCTATTTGTGTTAGTACTGCACTGTTCCTGCAAGTATTTATACAGAAAAAACACACATTGCCAATCCTGTTTAAGGGAAAAGATTGAGATGATGATAATGATGATAAAGACATAAAGCTTAACTGTTAACACCATGTTTTACTGAATATTTTGCAGAAACTTTCAGGTAGGTATGACTCTACTGTCTTAAAAAAAACTAAGAATATCAGGATTTTTCCTTTGAATTTTCAAGTAATTTAAGTTTTCATTGCCCTAATATGAGTATTAGAATGTTCATTAAAAAATTTATCACTTTTTTCAATTGCAAATGTAGAAATAAGGTATTTTCCTTATTAACTAAATTAGCTTTTAAATTATGTATATTGTTGAATAATTACTTTAGTTTGGGTGAAATAAAATGATTCGATTACCATAACTGTAATAAATTTACATTTATTTTAAGTTTGGAAACAGTAAATATTTGCAAAATATCCCACATTAGATCATACACTGGCTGGAAATTTGTGAAGTAGTAAGTGGAACCATCAGAAAGTGTCATCTGCAAGGATTTAGTTTAAAACCCCTGCAGCTGGAGGTAGGATCAAACCACATTGTGTCTACTAGCTCAGACTATTAGTAGAAAATTCCAATTTAATACAAATAAGAATGGAATCAGTGTTGGTTAAGTTTTAAATAACAATTAATTTATTTAAAATTCAGACATTTCCCTGTCCAACCCTGGACTTTCCATGATTTGTTTTAAGTTAAAAAGTGGTCCCATTGTTTTGATGTTTGAAGAACATCAACATTGAAGAATGTTTATAATGTAATAAACAAATATCTACATTTTGATAAATATTCAAGATCAGAAACATGAAAGTAAAATGTATAAATAAAACCATACCTACCCTCTACATCCTCATCAGTACTAGTCATACCTTGTTCCTCTTTCTGTTATTGAAACCCACTTTATAATTAATTTTAATGTAATTACACTCTATGTATCATCATTATCACATAAGTAAATTAAGATTGATTAGTATAATTAGCTACTCTAATAAACCATAAGTAGTCATTGTTATCACAAAAGTAAATTCAGAGATAATTTTTTCCAGTTAAATTGTGACGTTAATAAAAGTAAAACAAAGGCATAAGTAAATAAAAAGAAAATCTGTATTCTATACACTAATATCTAGATTGCAGTGACGAAATTTATTCCAGAAAAATACTTATTATTATAATAATATAAAGAAAATTGTAGTGACTTTAAAACATTCTAAGGAAACTAATATAATTGCATTATTCTCACCTGAAATTGAATGAAGGCTCATTCTTTTGTAAATTAATTTGAAGTTTTTTGAAAACTTCAAAATAAAAATGACCAAGTTGACAAGAGCACAGAACACATTTTCTTGACAAGAGTGAAAATGACATTGACATAAAAATATTTACAGAAATGACCAATGACATATATAGTTTATATAGATTTCTCAACCATAAACAAATAAAATAATTAAAAACGGGTCGAACTCACTAAACCCAGCTAGCACATAACGTTGCCAAGCCTTTCGGCGATGTTGCATTAAGGGAACGTAATAACATTACTGTACAACGTAAATGCAACGTTCATGAGAAGTTGTTAAGGGAAATCAAAACCTCGCAAAACTTCTATTTGTTATTTACCTAGTTAACCTACCGTAAACATTACAAATCTGAATTCAGAACGTTTAGTTTTATGTCAATTGTCACTTGTCAGTTTTTATTGTCAATTGTCTTTTTTAATGGTTTATTTTTCGACATCCAGAATTTATTTTATAAATAATTATTATTTATACATTCGAATAGATTTGGTAAGGGTCCTCTATAAAATAGATAACTATTTTCTAAACCATTGTCTTTGTTTCAGATTATAATGCCTGATGTAAATTTATTATTTCATTCATTAAGTATCTTTAGCAGTCGATGCCGATGACACCAAATAAAAAAAAAAACTACAATAAAAACAAAGAATTGCAGATCAATCGTTGTAAACCAGAAGATAAACATTTAACCGAATCTCCGGCAACATTTTACACCAAATACTTATAAAAGGTAATTATACTTTATCGAACTAAAAATACATTTTAAAAATATTATTTTTTAGGTTTCCTTCGACATTCTAGGAATTTTAGAAGCAAAAGTAAATACTACAGAAGTGTAAAGAAGAATATAACACCTGAAGTTTTATAAAAAGTGAATCTATAGGTACATGATATGTCAGGTATATCAGAATTCAAGCAGTTCATTCTCTTCAACAGGCTAGATTGCCTGGAAATGCAACCACCAGTCCAAGTGAAAACCCAGCAGAAAAGTTGAGAGATATCATAGATGATACTCTCGAGTATAATAGAATATCTTGCTAAAAAACACCAGTTGTTTTTTATAAAATCTACATATTGATGGCTCAATCAAATACTGCCACAACTAAAATACTATTATTTCGAGAAATTTCATTTTGAAATTTTGTGAGTCTCTATTATCATTATTTTGTTTTTGACATACTCTTTATATTTTATTTAAAAGCTTTGATATTTTGCTGTTAAATAAAATGATTACGATTATAAAAGTGAGTTGTTGCATAGTTGTAAAAAATTTGGGTGTTTTTGAAGAAAATAACTCGAATTGAGGCAGTTTTAGACACAGTTTGTGGCTACATTTTAAATGATTTATCTTTATAAGGATATTTTTGTTTGTGGTGGTATTTAAAGTAAAACCGTAATGATATTTTGCATCCATTGAACCAAAAATGTAATTGCTTTGTTTTTTGACTTGTGGCGGTTTTTGATTGAGCCATCGATATATCTACCTTGGAAATCAAGCATAAAATTTGTAAAATTCAAACAAATTTCAATACACTAACATTGGTTGTTTTATTTAAAACAACAAAGTAAGGCATATTTTTTTAATTTCTATATAATTTCCTTTAATTAATAATAGGTAAACAAGTTATCAATTTCTTTTTTATTCAATGTATTGAGAAGTAAAATCTTTTTATATAAAAATATAATTTATGCTCTTCTAATAAATTGTCATATTTAGGTTACATTATAGCACTTTATAAATATCTATGCAAAAAAAGTTAAAAGGCTTGATTTAAAAAAGATATATCTCTGCGTCTTAGGTAAGAAATCAGCGAACTTAGCTATCCTCTAGTAATCTAATATAATAATATGTACCTAGTCATTGTTGTATTTGTTTATTATTTTTCACCAATCTAGCTTTATCATCGTTCACCATTTAAGGTTTTAGTGAACCTTTGCAATATTGGTACCTTATTATACTATTTAGCTAATTTTGTCCAATCGTTCAGTGCTTTCTAGGTAGCTTCTTCTATCCCACATGTGTACTTGTGTTTGTAATATGAGGTGTGTTCTTTTATTCAATAATTGTTCCATCAGTGATTGATGTAATTTATCTATTCTGCAGTCGTTTTATATTTGAACTCTTATATTTTAGGTTAACTTAAATGATTGATTATCCTCACCATTCGTCTATCACATATCCATTGTGAGCTTTTAAAGCCGATGGATGCCTTGGCTCATTGGTGAACTCACCGCTGGAAAAAATAATGATTGACACATACAATCGTCTTTCCATCACTTAATTTACGAACGGTTTGCTGCAAGCGCTGGATACAGCACTGAATAAAAGAACACGCCTACACCTACCTCTACTTTTGTGCGTTTGGTACTTGATTTCAAGAACATTTTAATAATAAATTTATATAAATATTTTGTTTTATTTGAAATTTTCATGTCTCGATTGAGATTTTACTATAGCCTCAATTTCAGCCTCTCTGTATTACATTACACAATGTGTGTCCACGGATGGACTTAATTATACTTGTAAAAATATTTATTTTAAATTAAAGAAAAAGTTATTTTTCATAATTTCTCAATGTGAATCGAATTTATTTAACAAGCAAGAAATTATGAAGAATTACTTTTTTAATTTAAAATAAATATTTTCACAAGTATAGTTAAGCCCATCCGTGGACACACTGTATAATGCTGTAGATCTAATTCACATTATAACATCAATAGAACGTTTCAGAGCAACTTTCGGGGTAAGTACCGTAAAAGTGCTAGTGTGATGTTTTTCGAACTTCACTTTGTAACTTCTGTGAGATGTGCTATAAAAGTCTTGCCGTTGCGGACATTCGGTAGTTGCAGGGAGATAAGGGTTACATTTACAGTACATTGCATGCGAGCTTAAAGAGCCTAAAATTGCAGCTTATTAACGTAGATGGGATGTTTTTGTGCTAGCTGGGAACTATACATTAAACTGGAAGAACAAATCCAATCCACAAAATCAAGCCGCATAATAGTGAGGTAATAATTTGACACTTTGGTGCCCACATGTGCGTATCGAAATGCACGAAAAAGGATCATCAATATTAAATTTAACACTTATTACATTCAACTATGACACCTTTTAATTTAAGAAAATCACTTAAAAATGATTTTTGATTAATACGCAGTTGAAACAAATGTTCTAATAATAATAAATATTAAAATAGCGCATTAATAAAAAATAATATAATTTGACGTAGTACGCCCGTGGGAAATGCTCGAAATTGACAGTCTGGCGTCTAAACTGTCATGCGCACCGACAATTTTTTTCACTTATGTCGGCTCAATGAACTGGAGGGGGGTAGAATGCCAATGTACATGTTGTACATTAGAACAAGGTGCGACTCGATGGGCGCAGCCATTTTTATTGTTCATCTCACTTGGGACTATTTATAATAACCATTTTCTGTTTCACATTATTGTTCAATCCACAAGCTGGTGGATCAGACAATAACAATGTGAAATAGAAACTGGCTATTTTAAATACTCCAGAGTGAGATAAAAAATAACCTATCTTCGCACATAGAGTCGCACATCAAGTCTATTGACAAGCATTCTACCTCACTCCAGTTCATTGTGTCGGCTTAGAAATTAGAGGAGTAGGAGTAACCATCCAGTTTAATAACAAGGTCGGTGAATATGACCCGCTTTTCGTCGTCTTGTTTTTCCATAATATTAAAGTTACCTTCCCATCAACGGAATCTTATAAAAATGATGCCGAGTTTTTAAACGGAATGTACCACCGTCTATCTTATACTTACAAAAACTATTGCCGCGTTTGAAAATCCACATCGGATGCATCTGAGATGTAGTAAATCTTTGATCACGTGATTCAGTATTCGTAAATGTAATGGGACAGATGTGCCCGATGTGGATAAAAAACGCTCGAGATGTAAAAAATGCATCCGATAGGCGAGTTCGGTCAGTCAGGGGCTGGAGCGGGACAAATTTTAGGGTGCTTTTAAATGACATTTAAGTGTGTAAAACTGTCACTAATCGGACTAAACCGAACGCCAAAAGAGTCGTTTGGAGTTAAAAGTGTTAAAGGAGTTAAAGGAACGTGGCAAACCGAACGCAATGCTTGTGGATTCTAAAACGCAGCATTTATATATGGATAAGCAGTCTATAAAAACTATATGTCATTGGAAATGATGGAACAATTTTTTTACTGTTTTGAACAAAAGTATGTGCTTTTTGCACATGGGCTTTTTAGACACGACATAAAACCCCTTTAGGACGGCTTTAAGGAGATAACCACCGTGGAGCAAACGGAGGAATGAAAAAATGGGCAAACTCACATAAATAGGGGTCTCCACCAAGTTACCATACCGTTAAAACAAAATTTACAAAAAAGAAGAAGAAACAGTTAACCTCTATTTTTTTGTCAACAATCCAAATATTTTAACTGAAATTTATTTTTTTTTAATATCTAATAATGGATATCCCCATTGAAATCAAATTAGATTTCAAGTCTATGAAGAAAGATTTAATACATGGAATATACAACTGTTCTCAAAGAGGATTATATCATGCTGTTAAGTGGTTATCTGAAATAAATTTATCATTAAAACATGTAACTTTGCCTTCAGAAAGTAGACCTGAAAAAGAAAACGATTTGGAAGAGGAATTTGATGAATTTATATTAGCAAAATCATATTTTGATCTTAAAGAATATGATAGGTGTTCCCATTTTGTAAAAAAATGTATTAAGCCTAAGTGTAAATTCCTTTACTTTTATTCAAAATATTTGTCTATTGAGAAGAAAAAATTAGAAGATAATATGATAGACACCAACTCTTCACATGATTCTACTAAGAATGAAGCTTTAATTGATTTGTGTACTACATTAAAGATTGAAAATTTTGAGAACAAATTGGATGGATACAGCCTCTATTTATATGGAGTTGTTCTTAAAAAGTTAGATTTAATTCCAATCGCTACAGAAATATTTATAAAGGCAGTTAATGCTGAACCCATGTTATGGAGTGCTTGGTTTGAATTGGGAAAAATAATTCCAGACAGACACACAATTTTTGCAACAGGTTTACCAGATCATTGGATGAAATATTTTTTTCTTGCTCATACCTATTTAGAACAGCTCAATAATGATGAGTCTCTCCAGATGTATAACACATTTTATTCTTTAGGTTTTGAAAACTGTACTTATGTTTTATCACAGATTGCCCTGGGTCACCACAATCGTAGAAGTAAGTAAAAATTAGCATTTTAATGTATTACTTAATGATCGTAGTATTTGAATGAATAGACTAATTTTGTTTTATAAAACTGAATGTGAATGTGTTGTTAAAACAGAGCATTTACTGATATTGAAATATAATTTATTCTGGTAACTTCAATCACATACTTTATCACTGTTCTTTTGTAACCTAATGTAGGGGAAGTGGGGGATAGTTGATCACAGTTTTACTTTTTCTTGAAAATCCATGGAAATATAACCAAGAAGGTAGAACAAAAGTAAATACATAATTGTACTAACATTTATTTACATAATTTGATAGAGATATTGTCATTTATAAACCATTAAGCAATTTTATTATCATCCCATTGTTTTGGCTTTGGAATATCATTTCAAACTTTTTTATAATCTGATATGTCATTTTTGAATCTGGATTTGTCTCATACTTCTTCATGTACCTTTTAAGAGTCATTCTGTCCATCCCATATTTTCTAGCCACTGCTTTTATTGGACTTTCTTTTCTTAATGCTTCCTGGACAGCTCTTTTCATAGTTTTCTCATTGATCTTTATTCTAGGTGATGAACCTTCCTTTCTTTTATAAAACCTTGGCGTTTTCTGCAAAAAAAAATTCAATGGGATATTGGATTATCTGATCAAGTATACCTCTTTTAGGAGTGATCAAGTATACCTTTAAGGACACACAGCAAACGAAAATGAAATTTAACTTACCTTAAACATAAACAGCAACAGCAATATAATGATCAATTACTCAAACAAACACCACTGAGATTGCAGATGTATAAATTGCAAAAACTAAAATATTTACTTTGCAATAATAAAACAAACACAGCACACTAAATTATTTATGTTTACACCAAACTAAACAACATAAACAACCAACTGTAAATCCCCGAAATGTCAGTTGAGCTTTCTGTGAAGAGAATGCAGAGTTGCCAAACTGCTTACCTTTTCCTGGACATTTGTGATTTTGGGAAAACTTATATTTTTTTTTAAATAAATATATGATCATGTATTCCTGATGATCAGCTATTTCCCAGTTCCCCTAATCTTTAATTGTTTCTATACTCCAGAACATTTTCAAATCATCTGCAAATAGTAAATAATCTCAAAACTCTAGTATTTTTGGCAAATCATTAATAAATAATAGAAATAAAAATGATCTAAGATTGGAACCTTGAGGTAGCCCAGAATTTGCTTCAAATTTTCCAGACGTTTTCCTGTTGTGCTTAATAAGTATAATTTTAAGTAATGTAAGAAAATTGAAAGATAACCATAACCACTCAACTTAAGTAACAATAAGTCATTATCATTGCAAATAAAAAATTAAAAAAAAAACGACTTCAAAATCATGCAGATGTCGTCACCACATCTTAACCAAATTCATATGGGAGCACCCCTGAGGTACCCCCTTACTAACAAAAAAAGAATCATATAAATCGGACAAGGTGGCAAAGCATTATCACTAAACATACATTAAAAATGATGAACCCAATTATTAGATGTTGACCAAATTTATATTGGACCACCCCTGAAGTACCCCCTTTCTAACAAAAAAGAATAATTATTGTAGATATAGGTTTTGAAACTGTATGCTTTCAACTGAATTCATGGTCACACATTATTTTCGTTTAGTAGATCATTTAGAAACTGAAATCTCTTTTATATAGAGTAAATAAAAGAAAAATTAAAACAAATAACAATAAATTGTTTCTGGTAGTAATCATATTAAATGTACATGTTTTATAATAAAATTATTAATCAATGTAATCAAAACATAGTTATTGGTTGTTCCTAGATATAATACCTATAGGTATGTGTAGGTAGAAGTAAAAGCTATTTATGAAACAAAACAAAAAATGAAATAAACATTAATGTTACTGAATTCCCATGAAACTTATTTATTATTTATTTGTTTAGGTCACCACTTAACAGTTAAAACCAATTACCTATAGAATGGGATGAATACAGAAAAAATACATTTTATTTGTGAGATATGATACACATTTTCAGTCAAAAAATGTTCAGTTACATTTTACTGTCTATATTAGACCACAAAACATTTTATAATTATCACACAAAAACTTACATACTATTAATATAAATAGATACTATATACAAGAGATAATATAAAATACAGTAGGTACCTAACTATTCGTAATAGACTTATTTATTAACTTTACAAGCAGAACACAATAGCTTATTTTGCTTCAATTGACTGATTTTGTTAAAACTTGCTGCCAACATCAACATATCCAATATATTTTTGGCCAGTCCATTCCACCCTTTGCATAATTGCCATTTCATCCATTAAAAGATTCAAAAAACCTTTTTATAACCTTTTGACTTTCTCCGCCTTTAAATTTCAATGCTCTTCAGTGAATCCAAGAGAACCGTCAACAGCCTAATACCACTTTGATAAAGTACTGAGATGTGGGAGACAATGAAATTGTTAAATGTTTCCCTAACATACTGTAAAAGCTTAAATTTAGTGCAAACGCTCTTAATTCAGGGGAGTATTTTGTTCTGGAATGATCTTTAAATGCTCTCGTGACCAATTCCTTATATCCACTTGCAAGAGTAGCCTAAAAAATAAACTAATTTGATCTAAAATAACTTATATAAACAAAATGTTGCCTCATCATTAAAAACATTTATGAAAATTACTGGAATTAATTCTTACATCCACAAGTGTATCTGTAATTCTGATAAAATAATTTTTTATATATATCCTATCATAATATTTAAAGATTCTTATCTACTTTGTAAAATATATTTCTCCTAATTTTTTTGATTATATTTTTTTTGCATAGAATCTTCTTTTGGACCAAAGCTAATTGTTTATCAAAAAATAACTGTTATATTTTTTTTTCTAAAGCATTGCTTCCCTGATGTCATAATAATGCTTGATTATATGAGAAAATATCTTATTTGACTTCAACAAACCTTCGTTTTTCTTTCCCTTTCAGAAGCATTTAGTGTAGATGAATGGGAGCTTACAGATATTGTGGTTTTAGGAGAAGAGTTTATCAAATTTTAAACAATTTTTTGTCTTCTAAAGAGAGTTAAAGATTGAAGTTTCCTGTCTTGCATATTTTCGTCCCTACAAATGAAATGTACATAAAATGTATTCTGTAGATTTATTAATGATATACATTTAATTAAATTTCAAAAGTTCGAAAGGCTATTATTACTGGCACCTATTTGGTTTTTAAAAATGTAAGAGCTAATCATACCTTTTCATATTAGCCTTCTATGTTTTTTAATTTCCAACTTCAAAATTTTCAATGTTGGGAACTCAGATAAGGACATATTTTCTTTATCGCCGTTATTTTTAAGCCTGTAAACAGTAATGTAATAATAATAATAATAATATATGTTTAGTATTTAACAAAATAAGCAAATAAGTGTGTTTCGAAAGCCACATATATGAATATCGAATTGCAATTATTTACAGTTTATATGGAAAAAAACACTAATTTATAAAGCAAAGTACAGGTACAGCTTTTGGTATAGATCCTTTTATTAATCTATTGTTACCTTTATAATAATGTTCAGTTGAAAATGGTCTGAACACAGACATATGTGTTGTTAGAAATGCTATTAATACTCAAACTAAATACTTGACAGTTTGGTTGTGAAAAATATATTTAATCCATTTTACATTATACGAAAAGACAAATTAGCATTATCGCAAAGAAAACAACTATTTTCTGTCGAACGCAACCAGTTACAGTGATGCTCAAATGAAGAACATTCTACAAACATGTTTTCTTATTAATTTGCTCATTTCCCATTTTAAGTTACGTTTATGGAATACAGAATACTTAGGCCCAGTACTTTGTGAGCTGATTAAGTTAATTTAACAGAAAATCAAATTTTAACACAGAATTTCGGTACTTTACGTAATGGTTATACCTTAATCATGATTAAATGTGGGCGTGCCTCTGTTATATTTAACATCATCTTTTTTCATCAATTAAAACTTTAATCAGAATTATTGGGTCTGTACTTATAATTCCATGGTTTAGAATTCTGAATCATCTTGTTCCAAACGAAAATGTGACTTTCGATATTGTACACTGACATTCAACATGACATTTTAAATTCTTTTTATTTTTCTCTGGGTCAGTTGAATTTGAGTTAAATATTATAAAAGTGTTTAGTGTAATTATAAGGAGAAAATAGAAGAAAGGATGAGAAAAAGAAAGGAGGCAGCAATTGAAGAAAAAACATCTGGCGCAGTAAGCCAAAGGTATAAAAAAGATGCGTGGTGAAGAATCAATTGCAAGCAGTTTTAATAGGGTATCAGACAACTATAGAGATATCAATTCACTGAAAATAAAACATCAAATAACAATTGTAATAGAACTGGTGGTGGACCTGGACATGTGTAAAATTGCTCTGGTATGAAGAGCAGTTATATGCTCATTTTAAACTATGCATTTCGGGATTACCATCTATGGGAGACTCAGATGTGAAAAATCCAACCATTAGTGAGGTATCTTCTGATACTACATTAGAAAACAATGAACACCAGTCAACTAACTAATATAGTACGTATTGTATTAGTAAAATATGATTTATTATCCGTTAATCCGTTGAAATGTGAATTAAACAAAAGATTAAGGGAAAATTTATAAGGACATTTAATTTTAAATTTTTTGTGAAAAAACATGTATGTGTAGGAAAAGGTTAAAGCAGTTCATCTGGAGCCAGTTTTTCAAATTTTTGTTTTGTTTTTAATAATTTTTGGAAAATCTCCTAAAATCGAAATTTTGCATTTTTTTAATGTTTTACTTTACATTATTAGTTAATAACACATGTTTGTGTTTAAAACGTTATTGTACAAATAAAACTATTTAACAAAATATTGTGCATTTATTTTTACAACCAAAAATACATAAGGTAGTGGCATCAATAGCTGACAGTGTTTCTATACCTGGCACATCTTTTAAATATCAAAAATACGTACCATCAATTCATAAGGTTCTTTCGTTCGTTGTTGGTGTAGTGTCCACCAGTGTAAATTACACCAGCTACACCACCTTATTTTCCCTAATTTACTTCCTCCTTATTCCTTATACACATATCGAGTGTAATTCACTCCTGCTAAATAGCTGGTGGAGAAAATATCCACCAGTGGACACCACATCGCCGACAGGAAGGTTTAGTGGATTTTACACCGGGCCGAACGAAAGGTTCAGTGTACGTTGGTGTAGTTCATTCCTACACCAGTGGGACGAACGAAAGAACCTATTATATCATATTATTTTGTGCCAATCTATAACTGTTATATATGAACATTTGAAAAAAATGAATCAAGATATTTAAAAAAAAATACAGATATAATATTAAAAAAAATAATAATAATAATAATAATAAAAACAAAACAACAAAAAAAAAAGAAAAAAAAAACAAAAACAAAAAAAACAAGAAAACAAAAAAAAATAAAAAAGAAAAATATATATAAAAAAAAAGAATTCGTCGCCTAAAATATAATTATGTATAATTAATTGTATCACAACTGTTTTAACTGTTGTTTAATTGTTAATATGATGAAAATTTTGTACTTTTAATAGATTTTAGGTTCCTTCATTATTAATTATTGTATTGTTGTAATTTGTGAAAATTGTAAGTAGGTTAGATTCGTTTTAATAACATTAACTCTGGCCAATTGATCTGAGATCAAGGCCATCATACAAAACAAAACACACACACACACATAACTGTGCTCTCTGCATTATTTACATAGGCGGTGTTCGATTGAGTAAGTTAAGATTGCTTGACTATGACTAGACGGAATCTGCGCCTAGTCACAGGTATTCTGACTGGTCATTGCCAAGTACGGAAGCATCTCCATATCATGGGGCTGTCAGAATCCGCACTTTGCAGAGGGTGCGAACAAGAAGATGAGACCATCGAGCATATCCTTCTGTTTTTTCTTCTTCTGTCTGTGGCATATGTACATAACGTTCACGTAAAATTACTAATGCTGTGGTAACTTTCTGGATTATCCGTCCTGTTGTTGTTTTATGTATCCCTGCAAAATTACCTTGGACATTATAAAAACTTCCTGTAGCGTAGAAACTAAGGGTTAACAGTAGTTGTTTGAGGGGATCTACCTCATGGTACCTATAAGAAAGTAAAACGTAAAAATAATTATATAATTGTAACATAAAAAATTCAAAAAATTATGTACTTACATCAATCTGTCCCTATCAAGGATTTCAATTATTTCGTTTAGAATAAGACGAACTGATTCTTTTGAAAATCGAAACCTTCTGAAAAATTTTGCATCATTCCATTTATTAATGTGGTCTACACGTTCATCAACGATATATAGGTTCGTTGATTACGAACATAATCAATAATTTCACCATAGTCATCAAAAATATCGTATATCTCATGCAAATTCATTTTAATACCGCTAATTCAGTTAAGTAAGCAGTAAAAATCTTAACAATACCACGACAATTTCTTAAGCAGACTTGATTTAACTGACATGTGTATTTAAGCTTCGATACAATGCGTAAAACTTTTTCTTTCTATTACAAATATCCCACAACGTATGTTCATGATTCTTTCTCAAATTTGAGCAATGAAAAATAATAAATAAAAATAAGAAGAGACAGTGGTAGCACTACTGAAAACTTAAATCAAATATTGATTAACTAATCTTTGTTAAATTTACTCATAAAGTACCCATTCACTACTTTTCTGTCAATTTGATTATGATTAGTTTAACAACGTGATTAGTTAATCAGAAATTTAACAAGAGCACAAAGTACCGGGCCTTACTTGTGAAACGTCAACAAGGATCCTTTTAAGAAATTATTGCAAACTATACAAGCTTTCGGCATGATTAGCACTGATTTTATAATAAAAATACACTTAAAAAGTTTATCAAAGAGACACGTCGTCCAAATTGTCTTTGGAAGCCACAAAAAACGATCTTTTTAAAAACGAAAACAAGACGTCAAATGAAACGTCATTTATCACAAATACGCGCGTTTAAATTCTCCAATCATAAATCGTCGTGTTCCTAACTCGCCAATCATAATGCGTCGTGTACCTAACACCAAAGGGGTTACCCCCTCAGTACATAACAAACCCATTTGAGTAACACCTCTAGTCTTATATGCTCTAAGGGTATTCATGATGTTAAGAATGGCATTATATTCAATAAAATCACTGGATAGAAAATAGCAATTTTTATTGATTTTAGAGTATACATTATTAAAACTCAGGAACTTATTTAAAGTGTAACAAGCAAAACCTTTAGGAACTTGTATGTAACTTGTTTAGATCAAACTGCAGCGGAATGTCCACATTGATGATCTTTGTGCTGGGATATATTTAATTTTGTTTATATTTTGTTATAAATTTTTTGTTTTCTATTTTATATTTCTTTTTTTTTTAATTAGTAATTTATAACCCGCTGTATTGTCAGTTATTTTACATTTGTTATGGAACTTTATATACCTACTAATCTGTAAAATGGGTTTTGACCCGTAAATAAATAAATAAACTGTAACGATTAAATTTATTAACAAAATGCTTAATTCTATTTTTCTTGCTTTGTCTTGCATATAGGTTGATATAGTATTTTAAAACATTTCTTTGGTATTCATACACATTAGTTTTTATTCTAGGAATTCTTCAGACTTGAACAGTTAAAATAAACAGGTTAAAATAGGAATATTTTAAATAATTTTCTTCAATATTTAGTATTATTTTAATAGTATGTTATTGACTTTTGCTTTTCAAATTCAATCTTCTCTAAATTCTTAACTTCTGTATAAAGTAAATTGCCAAGGTATCCAAAATACTGTGAATAGAGCATGCCCCCATCATTAGTGTTTTTAGTTTTAAGTAAAATAGGTGCAACAATATTCAGAATAGCATCCCTAACATGCTTAGCTTCCAATATCATTTGATCATTCAATTCTTCGACATAAAAGTTGTGAGTTTGTCTCTCTAAGAGGATAAATAGGAGTTTTCCTATACCAGAAATTCGAGGAAATAGGAATGTTTTCACTACTTCTTCTCCTAAACATCCTAACCCTTTGATCGCTCCGTATATTGTCGTTAACGGGTTCATACTATATGCCTTTAAAGGTCGAAGGTAAATACCAATAACTCTGTTCGTTATATTATTCAAACGATTGTTGTACTTTTCACAGATAGCAGATATAACAAAAACTGAAAAATCTCGAAGGGTCCAATGATTGTCGTAATAACATTTGCTTATTCTCCTAGCAAGAACGCAGGAAAGTACGGCAGGGATGAGATCATGCAAATGCTCAACAATGTTCAAATATTGGTTATTCAATAAACTTTTTACCATTCTTACAGAATAAATGAGCAAAGTCAAATCTGGATGAGCTATATTTACATGAATCGCTTGTTTAATAAAAATACTGAGATAGGGTAGCAATGAATTTATATTGTAATCTGTGGCGAGAATCTTAAGATTTTCGTTTCTTACTTGTTCATTATATCCAAAAATACCCTCTGTTAGAGTTAAATAAAATATTTGTTCTTCTACTGAAAGAGGGTGATTATCTGGAAAGACCTTTAAAAAGACTGTGTCTACCTTGGGGACAAACTTTTGTACAATACTCATAGTATTATTTTGTTTTTATGGTTATTTAGATAAATTAGTATTTACCAGATATGGTTTATTTTTAAGTTTTTCTTACTAATTTTTATCTTTTCTGGACATTTTACTCATTTTTAGTGACAATGTCAAATTAAACAATTTGTTTACATAGCCTACTATCAAAATATTAACCGTTGAGTAGCGACATAAAGCGTCGGTGCCTTTGATCTTGGGTGGTGCAAATTTTCTTTCTCTCTCTTTTGACGTTACTGACGGAACGACACACTAAAACACTGCTCGAATTATGAACTGGTCTTGAATGTGATGTTTACACTGCTCGACGTAATTTGAAGTAAAACTCTTTTGTAGTTTACATTTATAATAAAGGTTTGGTCATTAGGCAGTTTTATATTTATGAGTATTTAACTTATGTAATAAATATAAAAATATATATCACTATTGATGAATTTCAATTTTTTTACCTACGTCCGGAGAGACTTGAAAGTTGGTAGGTGCACAGGGTTTTGATTTTTGATTACAATAGAAATTATTACTTATGGACCTTCTTATTTATTAATCGAGTTGTCTCAAACTTTAAATTTCGCGTTGTTCAAACATGTCGCTGAATACAATTATTTTTGACTAAGAAATCCACAACAACGAATTCCTATATCAGCTGCCGGACTAAAGTGAAAGGGGTTGTTTACATCTTTAGAAGACGTCTCGCCCCTCTATTTCGCGTCGGCGCACTAGAATTCGGTTCCCCAGCTGTCGCTACTCAACGGTTAATATACTTTGCTACTATAAAAATAGTTTTTAGTAGTTAACTAGTGTAATAGTAGGAGAGCCGACTGCAAATTTTGGCAGTTATCCGATAACGGAATATGCTCCAAAGGCATGTAGAAACATTGTACTTTACCAAATGACACCTGTGCCAACCACTATCCTGAGCAAAGTGGTTAAAACATACAAATGAAAATATAATTCCATACAATCATTATATGGTTACTTATATTCTGAAGTTTTAAAGAAAATGACATATTCAAACATTTCTTGAGAACATCGTTAAAGCGATAAATTTCGTTGACACCTTTTTTGATCCAAAGAGTAGTTTTCGAGATATTTCTTTGTTTCAAACATCGAGCAGTTATAAAGAGAGCAACAGATATGTACGAGTCTAGATTAGAAAATTCAGCAAACATAACAAAGGATACCTGGACCATTGTCAACAAATTAAGGATGAAACACCAAACCAAAACATTGCAGTCCTCTATAGATCCCGATTGTTTCAACTCATTTTATTGTAATATTGCTCACAATTTAAGGCAAAAACTGAACTCTAAACAAGATCCTATTTTCTATCTGAAGGAAATTGATGTTACCACTCCCTGTGTCTTTTATAACACCACTTTAGAAGAGTTAAAAGTAGCATTACATTCAATAAAAAATCAAAACACTTCAGGTAATGATGATTGTCCACACTAACTTCATTCTCACCAGAAATCAAATCACGACTGGTGAAAGACTGTCTAGAAGACCTGACAGAGCTAAGTAGTCAAAATAAGGTGACCTTAGCCTGGGTTCCAGGCCATGAGAGATATCAGGGCAACGAAAAGGCCGACGAATTAGCCCGAGAAGGCTCAGATAAGGCCATGACAGGCCCTGAACCCTTCTGTGGAGTTGCTAAGGCATTGTGCAAGACATCCATTAAACAATGGATGCAAAAAGAGTCTCAGGAATGGTGGAACAACTATCCAAGACTGAGACAGGCCAAACAGTTCATCAAGGAACCATCGGCCAAGTTTACGAAAGACCTACTGGATCAAAAACGTCAAATCGTTAGGATAACAGTAGGCCTTCTTACTGGACACTGTCGCCTCAAAAGGCACATGAGTGTCATAAATCCAGCAGATGAAGCAACTTTGTGCAGGTTCTGTGAAGAAGAAGAGGAAACATCATTCCACGTCCTGTGCCAATGTGAAGGCTTGGCTGGAATGAGGTTTCTAACATTGGGCGAAGAAAAGCCAATTGCATGCAACTACATGCGGGAACCACTGTCAAAGCTACTAAGTCTAATAAAAAAGACCAGGCTAGACGACATACTCTAAAACAAACGGAGTTCCACAATAGATCTGAAAAGGTCGCGGTGGACAAGGACAAATAACGTCCAACTCCTAATCTAATATAACTTCATTAATAATTAATAAGAGCTTTCATGACGGAATATTTCCAAAATTTCTTAATTGTAATACTCATCCATAAAAGCGGTAACATATATTTATTTTGTTTGAAATGAAAACGACGTGTACGTAAAGAATGTACGAATAGACAAAGGTGTTACTCTGATGGAGGTTGAAATAAGTCTGTTTGTTTGTCAAGTGAAGTGAAGGTTAGTACCTTGTGTGCTACTGTTTTGATTGGTCTGTTTGTATGATGTCTTGTAATTGGTCATTAAGAACGTCGCGAGATAGTTGTACCAGATTAATGCAGACAGATATAGCGTGTATGTTGTAACTATTAAATACACATATGTATTTGTTTTCAACGATTCATTTTACCTATGTCCATATTAGAGCGACTGAGATAAATTTACGAGTGGGAGAAAGTTGGCACTTGTATTTAAATAACTGAAAAGATTACATTCTACACGAGAAAATACTAGTAACTTAAATGGTCATATCTTGGAGTCTGTTAATCAAATTAAAGACCTTGGAGTTATTCTAGATCCCACGTTAAGCTTCAATCAACACATGCCTAAGGCTATCCATAAAAATGTTGTTTGTTGTTTTCAAATAGCCTTTATTTACATTATATATAATTTGCTTTATAATAACATGCTATTTACATAGATTAGAAGGATTTCTTCTTAAATCGTCTTCTTGGGAAGTGTTCTCTTCTATTATGGCCCCCAGACGAGACCATGACCGATGTTGTGGTCGTGCAAACAACAGTAATTATTTATTATGATGATGTGACTTCTCCTTGTTGAATTTTCAACATTATAAGTCAATTTTGATGAGCTTATGAGAACGTTAATGGAATAGTTTTAGGTTTTTGTATGATTTTAATTTTGTCTGTCTTCTCTGAAAAACCGTTAGTACAAAACATGTTTCGATAAAAATGTTAGGTTTTATCAAAAGGCTAACACATGATTGAACTGACACAACTGCAATTAAAGTCCTTTATTGTTCACCAGTCCGACCTCACCTAGATTATTGCTCTTCTGTATGGTCTCCACATTACATAACGCACAGCAGAAACATAGAAAATGTGCAACATAAATTTCTTAGATATATAACCTATAAATTGGGTGTCCTTTGCGAGTATGGTTTGATAGGGAATGTTCTAAACATCCCCTCTTTGGAAACCAGGAGGAAACAGAGAGACCTGGCATTACTTTTGAAAATTATCAATGGCAGATGCAGCTGTAGTGAACTTCCTAACAAAAATAAATCTTTATGTTCCAACCCGCTCAACTTGACAGCAACAAACATTTTATGTACCTTTTTATCGTTTAAACTATACTTTTAGCAGCTGTATTCCAAGAATGTGAAGATTAGCTAACACTCAAAACGATCTTGAGATATTTAACACCTCCTTTCATAAGTTTATAAAGCAATTACTTACTACTGAGCTTTAATTTTTAATGGTTAATGTAAATATTTTATTCAACCTTATTGTCTTTTTAAATCTTTTAAATTCTTTACCTATTTTAGTCTATATGTAATGAATTATACCACGTTTGTATTTCAGCACCATTGTAATTATAATTTAAAATTGTAATTTATTTCACAAATGGGCTTGCCCGTAAATAAATAAATATGTTACAGGGTTTTTTAACAAATATGACATATTAATAATGTAATAATTAATTGATGTGGTATTTAGGTGATTTATAAAATATTTGTATTGTTAATTTCTTAAAAGGAATTTCATTTTAGATTTGAATGAAGCTATTGACATTTTTCAAAGAATTCTTGAATTGGACCCTTATAGATTGGACAACTTGGATACGTATTCTAATCTTTTATATGTTCTTGAAATGAAAAAAGACCTTGCCGACTTGGCTCACAAGGTTGTAAATATTGATAAATATCGTGTAGAAACATGTTGTGTTATAGGTAAGCCTTTTTAACATATTGGACTAAGATTATTTGTGTATTTTTTGGTGCTTTTATCCCGTATTTTTATCGCCTTTAACCTTTGTTTAAATATTATTTAGGAATTAGTTACAAGGTGTTTCTTTTTTTTTATTGATCTTTTATTTTTTATATAAACTGATTAAACTCTCTTGAACTATGTTCATGCTTTAAAAAATTCCTATGTTTAGGAAATTACTACAGTTTAAGATCAGATCATGCAAAAGCTGTATTATATTTTCGAAGAGCTTTAAAACTAAATCCACAGTTTCTATCAGCTTGGACCCTAATGGGTCATGAATTTATGGAAATGAAAAATACTAATGCAGCTATACAAAGTTATCGGCACGCAATTGGTATGTAAATATTGTACTAAATATGTAATTACATTTATTGGAATTATCTTTATTTTTTTAGAAATCAATTCAAGAGATTATCGAGCTTGGTATGGTCTTGGTCAAACGTATGAAATTTTAAAAATGCCTAACTATTGCCTACGCTATTACAAACGAGCACAGCAATTGAAACCAAACGATAGCCGAATGGTAATAGCGTTAGGGGAAGCTTATGAGAAATTGGATAAGACTGAGAACGCTCTAAAATGTTATTACAAGGCATGCAATTTGGGCGATGTAGAAGGAATTGCTATTTTAAAATTAGCAAAGTAAATATTTATTTTGATTTTTATTTGAAATGTAAGAAATGTAAAAACTGTAAGAAATGTAAAAACTGTAAGAAATGTAAAAACTGTAAGAAATGTAAAAACTGTAAGACATGTAAGAAATGCAAGAAATTCAAAAAATTTAAGAAACGTTCATTTTGGTTAAAATTTACGTAGCACACTCGTCCTTAGAATTAAAATTCGGCCCTGCATGATATCGGTTTTGGTTCAGACACTGTTAGTTTAGTTGCTTTCCTGTTTATGATGTTTTGTTATTTTTAAACATTAATAAATCAACACGTAAAGAAGCAAATTTCAAAATTTTTTGCTTGGTGCACTTACTTTTCTGTCTGAATTTCACTGGAATTTGCTGTATTCTTTAAAATTTCCGAACACGTTCCTTTTCACTTGACAATCGAGAGTAGTGGAATGCCATTTATACATAATATATTATTATATTTTACATATTATAATTATTACTTTATCAATAAATTAAATGTTTTATATTTTAGTATTGTTTTTGTTTGCTTTTAGACTTTATGACAAACTAGCTGAGATTGAAAATGCGGCTGCTGCTTTTACAGAATTTTGTTTGAGAGAAGATGGTAGGGAACAGAAAACTGTGGAGGAGCAAGCCGAATTTTATAATGCGTTACAGTATCTTGCCAATTACCATCTAAAAAAGGGAGAGTTGGATGATGCTTATACTTACGCCTACAAATGTTTGGAATGTGAAGAGGTATGTAAATCAGGGCGTTCTAATATTGCCTAGTGATTAGATTATTCATTGGTTATTTTTAAAGATTTTTTTTTGTAAAGTGCAGAGAAGCATGGTAATTTCTAAAAGAAACTAACCCCATAGATCTCTGATTTTTAAGCTTATGAAAGAAGTTATTTAACAAATTTGTTTTATGGAATTCTGTACCCTATTTAAAAAAATATATTCAACATATAAAACATTCTGTATACATTAAAAAATGTTATACTATATCGTTACAGTACTGTAACGATGTCATGATTTTCGTTCTAATCTATTCAAAAATAAAGTGTAATAACATTAAAATAGGGAAATTCTAATTTTTCAACTAGAGAATTATAGAATTTGATGTAACTTTATTTTATTTTAACGTGGCCATTAGTCACTTAGATTATTATAACACTCGTCTGAGATTCATCCTGCAAATTTCACCTATGTTGGTGATAGACATCATTATAATTTGTTATATAATTTTGTAGTTTAAGATTTATATTAGCAAATGTGTTTTATTTTCCAGACAAAGGAACCAGGCAAGGCCTTGTTAAAAACAATTGCTTCAAAGAGAGCTGAATCAGAAGCTGGGCCAACAAGGATGAGTGAATCAAATGCAAGCAATACTGACATGGTGTTTTCACCCAATCAAATGTAGTTGTAGGATTTACGTTTAAGAATATTCTCTTTTTGTCTATATTTAAATAAAGATAGCATAAATATTATATTTATTTTACACCCTCAGACCCCGCTATCACCCTAGTCTGTCTCTAAAAATGTTATAGCTTAAGCGTGGCACCGCTGCAGTTTCCACCATTTTCCATACCCATTCACTTCATCTCTTAGATGGTTAAGCCTAGTCCCATGGTGTTGGTCCATGTCTTAGCAGATCATCCATTCATGACTGCCAAGATGCTGTGAGAACTGCTCTTTTAAAAAATACGAAAATTGCAGTTAAGCTAAGGGAAATTTTTGTAACTTTTCAAAATACAATTTAAAGAACAAAAACGAAATGTTGAACTAAACTGAGTATTAAAGGCATTCAAATGAAATTAGTATACATAAAATTTAAACGAACTGTTGATGTTTATCATCCAGATTAATAATATTTTACATGTTTGTCTAGACACAGGTTTGCTCATAAAAAGTTATTGTAACTATTTCAACGTAACAGATGATAAATTCAAACATCTTGAGTTTTTTAATTAATAGTTCTCATATCTAAAATTTACAGGTCGGCGATCAAAATGCTGTTAATGAAATGAGATAGTTATATCCAAAAAATGGTAAGCCCACGCAAAACAAACACCGTTTATTAAAGGTCTGTTTCTTGGGGGGATATTTGCACCTTTTGGGCATTAGAATGAATAATTTAAGGAGTTTATATGCCTTTGGTCGATGATTACTCCACATCTGCAGAAAATATGTTCGGCATTTTTGTTTGTATTATTACAGCGTTTCTCAAACTTATTTGGCGACGGAATCCTTTTGAAAAGCAAAATATTTGATGGAGTCCAAGGTCCTGAAGCAAAATTAGATCCTTTCTTAGAGAAATCTAAAAAAAAAGCTTCTCATACCAGATCCTTCCTTTTGTGACGAACTTTATCTTAGTGTTTTTTTATTATGACATATTCTCGGAGCCCCCACAGAGGCTTTGCAGAGCCCCTGGGCTCTGCGGAGCACACTTTGAGAAATACTGTATTAAATATTTACTTTTTAAAACTATACCTTGGAGGAGAATGGCCAGGCCTCTGCTTGTTACTAAACTAAATTTGATAACGAAAATATGTTCGGAAGTTTCGTTTGCATTATTGCATCTTCAGGTTTATGCGTGTTTTGTCTAACTTTTTAAAAGTATACCTTAGCCTTAGAGGACAATGATGGCCAGGCCTCTGCTTGTTACTAAACTAAATTTGTTAATTATTGTTAGATTCGGAAGTAATAAGCAGGTGAGGGGGTAGGTTGGCTTAGTGGTTAGATTCTGGACTGTCAGATCCAAGTTCGAATCCCACCGTTAGCCAGGATTTTTTATTAAATTTATTTAAAAATAATTCTGATGTGTAGGTATGATTCCCCACTCCGACCATTCACTGCTGGGCCCTAAATAACAGTGCTTTTCTGAAGTGGCACTGTGAAACAGTGACAAAGTCTACACAGAACACTTGAACTAAAATCAAACATAAACTAAGATTGGCATAATTAAAAAAAGTTACAACTTTTTACGACAACTTTATTAAACAATTAATATTTTAATTGAGAAGAGGATTATCTTCGACCGTCTTCTTCTAGTCACCAGTTTAATTGTCAGTTGTGTAATTTCCATTTATGTAACTGCTCCATCCCTAAGATGTTCGAATTTTTCTTCATCTGGGGACTTCTCTTATCGGTCTGGTTTATTGCAGAAGACTCGCATTCTTTTTGAATCTTGTTTCATGAATATTATTACTATTAAAATAATGCTAATAACTCTCGATAATCCTCCAAAAATTTGTGGATACTGGTTTGATTTTGAAAATTGAATAGGTGTAAGCAGTTTTGCCAAGTTGCTAATTTTGTATATTTCTTGTAAGTTAATTTTTTCGAATGGTAAAATTTCCTAAATCGATTTTGGATAGGACCAGAGGTTTACTTTGTTGGATTTTGACATCGTTAAAGATTTTTTTTGTTAGGTTTAATCCCGTCGGAGGTTACGTGTCCCAAAAACTCTACCTACCTACGAAGAAATTCAAATTTATGTAATTGTATTTTTTAAAGGGCTTCGCGCGCAATTTGGAGGAAACTAATTTTGAATATGCTCTTGTAATCCGGTGGTTAAAATTATGATAGAATATCTATAACTTAGTATAAATCGAAGCTTTGATTTCATGTTTAACTTTGGAGGTAAATGTTAATTTATCGCCTGGTTTGAAAAATATTTATCTGAAAATAATTAGATTTTTTCAGCGATCATATGATTAGTTCTAAGTTTTGCTATATCAGAATTAGTTTCTTCATTACTTTAATTTAAAAATCAATTATTGTATATGTCATAATCCAAAGTTTCGAAAGATTTTACTGGAAGTGGTTCATTTAATGTTACTGAAACTGTTTCACCAGAATTATTTTGGATTTCTATTAGTGTAAAACCGCTTTTCGCCTGTATTAAAATTTCTGGAATATCTAAGTTTCCTATTTTACCGCATATAGTGTGTTTCTCCATTGTATATACTGGTAATCTTTTTAGCATTTTTTGTTGTGCTTCTATAGATAGCGAGAAATTTGAATCATCTTGTTGTCTATACTTGAAAAGTTGTTGAACATTCGGTCCTGTTAACCTATTCTTGAATAAAATTCATATTTTTTAAATCGTTTAGTCCTATGATACCATCAAAGTAGTCATGAAAATCATATAGTAAAAATGATATGTTACAATTAAATTCGGGAAAAGCTTTAATAGTTGCTTAGTAAAAAATGTCTCGTGTTCCTACGGTCGTTTTAATTTGTGCATCTATTCTAGAAATGGAATTTGGGAAGTATTTTTCTACTATTATAGGTTTAATTATTGATCGCCAACTACCTATATCTATAAGTAATTTTAATTTAGGATCGTTTATTTCAACATTAGTCTCAAAATTATACCATAATGAATTTATAAAATATGCATATGCATTTTTTTTAGAATTACATTATTTTAACATTAAAATTTTTAATTGCCCTTAAATAACACTTATTGCTATCATGGCATATACAGATTTAATAATATTTTTAGTAGAAAACTCACCGACTGTTTCTTTCAGTTTATTTCGAGACGATTCTAATTCTCCTAAGCATTTTAATTATCACTGTCCTTAAAAATACTGTTTCCGACTTGTTGTCATAGGCGTAGTCTAAGGGGAAAGAAGGGGTGTGAATGCATACTGTTTATACACTGTTGCACTATAAGGTAGGGTTGGCACCTTTTTCGAAAGTGAGTAAATGCAGGGTTATTTTGGCGAGCTTCTAAAAATAAAAAAGTCCTTAGCAAAGGACATGTGTCGTAAAAAAGGACAGGCTCATGAAGAAAATACATTTCCAGGCCTAACTTTTGATAGCAGCATTCCCATGCTTTACCAAAAATTCGATTTTCCGACACTTCAAGATACATTTTTACTAACTTAAAACGCAATTTAATTTAATTATCAATTGCAATGTATGAGTTGAGATATGAAAAAATTATTATAAAAATGACACTATGGCTGATAATTTTAAGTTGTTGTCTTCTACAATCGCTTCAAAGTTCATGGTACACGGAATTCCACCCCAAACATTGCGAGCTTTCGACTTTTTGGCCACCCCTGTTTTAGAGAATTTCAGCGAACTTTAAAAAATCGTAGTGTGTATCTTCTTTTTTTATTCTCATTTTAACTTTCAAGGATAATAAAATAAACTTATTTACAAAAATTACCAAAATATGGCTCTGATGACAAAAATAATCACTGGGTAAGTTTTTTGTAAAATCACTGCCAACACTGTTCCCGCAATTTCCACTCTTCTAGATTCACAACATTGAGTGTCCATGCCAGCTACAGTGGCGTTTTCAAATCGTCCCGTTTCATTGGCTCACCACGTATTATTAAGTTAATATTGTTAATAAACCCCACTAACCAGCTAAGAGACTGGGATCTGAATGTTTATTTAAAATGTCACATTCTAAGTTTAACGCAACGTTGTTAATGGATATTTTACAGACTAATAAAAAGAAACATCGAACTGTTTATTGAGGCTAAAAATTGTTTTTATTATTAAAACAAATATTACATTTCCTTTTCATATGTATAGAATTCGTTAAAAATGTATCGTTGATGCAATCCTTCTGCTACTTTGAATTTTGTCATAGTCACATTTCCCGCGAACCAATTAATTAAAATTATGTTTTCAAAAGGGATGTTTGGAATTAAAAACAAAAACATTAAAATATTATGTATACAAATTTATTGAAACATAATTTTAAATTAAAACTACAATTTTGTTATTTCAATATAATAACTGTGCCTAGTTTTTCGGCTCAGCAAACTATACATTTGGCAATAATGCAAAGGTTAGCAATTCATAAAATTGTTCGTTGCGACACTGTATCACTTATACACTTGTGTCCATTGCACGCATCAGTCAAATACTCCATCATCATAAACAAAACAAAAATTATTTTACTGTGTTCTTATATTACGCGCCATGTAAAATAAAAAAACACAAATGAGAAATAAATGATTAAATTCTTTCAAGAATAAATTATACAGCATTATAATAAAAAATTGAGACATTACCCCACTAAGTGAGAGTTAATTACAATATTTAGATTAATTCAATCGTATATGATATTTTTACATTTTCGATCTTTTGTTTGATACAAATAAAAACCTTTCCGATCTATGAAAGGTAAAAAGAATGTTGTCCTTCAGAAGCTGCTAATCGTAACTTTTCTCTCATCACTTCGATACTAGAATAATCCGGTAGTTTGAGGTAGTTTACACAAGTCATCACAGATGGAAGGAAATCATCAGCATTCATATTTGTTTCTAAAGTTTTTCGCACTACAGTTAATGGTGGAGATAGAGCCTTAAAACCTAAAATGAAAAGAAATAAAAATAAGTACACTATAGCAAACAGTAGTGGAAACATATTACGTTTGTCCTGGTTTACAGTTAATATTGATGTATAGCTTTATTTTTCGAAGATGAAGTGTTTGAAACCGAAAATAGAGATGCACAAACTTTAAAGGATCAGAGGGATACAATAGTGAATTTAAAAAGAGAAATGACTGAATTGCAGGAAAATTTCAAATAAAGTGAAAATGAATTGGAAAATATAATAAATTAGTAATATTTGAAAATCCATAAAAATCTTAGAGCAGGAAAATAATACATATATGAAGGAATTTGACAGGTTAAGACTGGAATTATCAAAGGACTGTTTTACAACAATAAACTCCAAATTAAAAAAATCTTCAGAAGAAGTCGGAGGCATAAATAAGGATCCAATTTAAGTTGCTAGGAATGCAAAACTTAAGTCTTGCAATATTTTAATTTTTTGTGATTAGTTAGGGCATAATTTGGTTCAAATATTAAGGAATCGTTCTGAAAATGAAAATATATAGACCACTATTAAACCATTTGCTTGCTATTGTGATATAATTGAAAATTTGTCACAATTGACACATAAATATACACTAACCGATTCAGTTATTATTATAATAGCAAGTCCAAATGATTTCCAGAAGAAAAGATATCCGTCATTTAGAAATTTTTTATAAAACGAAATAAAGATAGTACTTACCTCCTACCGGTAGTCTTGGGCTGCCTGTCAAAAACTGTACAAACATTCTCTGTTCTTCTCGATCATAAGAACTAAGCACATCAAACAGGAATCTAATAGCTCTCGAATCGCCAGTATATCCATGATCCGGTCGACAACATTCCATCAAAGTTTTCACATCCCATCCCGCAATAAAATCTTTGGGGCTACCGCAGAATACAGCTTCCAACTCTTCCGGTTGAAATACCTTTAGATTGTGCAGCGGAAAAACAGATTCGAACCCTTCCCTTAAAGATTCCATTTGCCTAGCGACACCTTCATACAGAATCCAATGGGTCATCAACTTAACGTACAAGTGTAGATTATGAATTGTTACGTGAGTTGATTTGCCGCTTTTCATTAGTTCTACGTTATGACCGGGTATAATAAAATCGATGCCCAGATCTTCAATTGGACAACCATCGAATTCTAATTTTTCCACCTGAAAAAAATGTTTTAAATTATAAAATTGCCTCGTGTGGCGGCGTCCATGCCTGTGACGTATATTTCGGTTCTTTTTTAAATTCGACAATTTCTAGTGGCCAAATAATGCCAATGGTTTGTTTTAAACAAAATTTGTATACCTTATGAGGCAGCAGTACAGTATTTTTTTTTATATATATACAAAATTTTATAATTTCTGTTAATAGTTTTGCTCTATCGAGTCAAAAATTAAAAGAATACTTAGGATTAACATAATGGCATGCCAAGAGTATTTATGCAGTACAGCACAATTTAGATTTATTTAGAATGATTATAAATGATTTGAATAGAAAATGCTTCCACATTTCCGACAATTTTTTTATAAACATAAAAATGAATTCTCGTATGATTTATATTTTTTATACTAATATGTTTTGTTATTTAACAATTGTTGTCGATAAAATTTTCCATTTATAAACTTACCTCGATCAATTTTTGTTCCAAACCAACATCTGAAGTAGATAAAATTTCATCTCTTTCCTTAACAATAAAGTGCATCTTTCTCAATGTTTTGTACAATTCAGGATTAACGTGCCTAAGATCAGACAAAGTTAAACAGTGCTCTTGTCCTAATAACCAACGGTAGAACGTTATAGAGAATGGAAGATCCAGCTGAAATAAATTTGTCATTAATTTAGAAATAGTTGAAAAATAATTATAATTTAATTTACCATTCTAGAATCCATCACAGCCTTAGCCATAAATTTTCCCAAAAATCGGAACTTGCTTTTAACTTTCGTTATTTGACTAACTTTCGCCCCTCTCGATAGCGGTATAGGGAACAATCCCATTGGATTATTAATGTATTCACTATCGCTGGAACTCGGAGAGTTCCACAACTCCAAATTCGTTTTTTGTAATTCCTTAGAAACTAAAGCGTAAAATTCTAGGGTCGGCCCTAGACCGGTGCCAACTTCATTTTCGTATTGCACTTCTAGTAAAGCCTTCGAGGAAGCCAAGTCTTGCATCACTTGTTCCGCTTGTTTTAGTATATCGTCGCGAGATATAGTCCGTTTCCTTCTATCTAGTCTTGGTGTAACTCGTTCTTGAGAATCGCTCGAACTAAGTTCTGGAGACATATCGAGCAATCTGTAACATAATTATGTTTGTTAAACGCCATTCTAAACTGTTTAGTATGAAATAAATAAAGAGTGATCCACAAGAAAATGTTTGTAGTCATGTCCGTGATCATTACGCACGGTTCTGAATTAAATTCAAACCGACCCTTAAAAAGAAGAATGGGCGTGTTTAGTGTAAACGAATTTAACGAATCAAATGATATTAACTGTTTACGCACAAAAAAAATTGGACAAAGCGCCCCACGCTTTTTTCACAATAATACTAGTATTTTCCATTTATTATTGTTTTAAGCTTATTTGAAAAATTATTTTTAACTTTTTAGTTTGATATGCTCTAAAAGCGTGTTTTTTAGTTTTTTTAAACTATATTTATTTTTTACTTTTTAGTTAGATTAATTATTAAAAAAAAAATTGCTGGGGATTAGAACCCACGATCGGTGAGTCTGGCAATCGAAAACCCGCGCGTTAGACCGCTCGGCCACGAACGAACTTGACTTAGTGGGATATACGGACAGTAATAAGCCACTTGAGTCCAAAGGAAAGTTACAAACATACATACAGCTGAAGCTAATATAAGCGTGTTAAAAAAGGGATCAGACTTGCCAAAACTTGATATAGTGTTTAATTTGTAAAGGGGTCTAAAAACTCTTCTTTAAATCCGAACTACAAGAAGAATCGTTTTCTAAAGTATATTATTTGAAACCGAAATTAGAATTATTAAGGAGCTTACGCAGTATATGCCACCAAGAAAACAAATTTTTTGAAAAAATCTGCAAGCAGATTTTTAGGCAATAGTAATTGCTATTTATGAGAAAATTTTTGTTTTTTAAATTTTAAAACTAATGAAAAATATAAGTTTCACTAATTGTTGTTGAACAATATTTTCACAATGAATCTTAGACAATAATTATTTGGTCATTATCATAATTCTTTTCCAAAATTATCATTTACTAAAATTACTGTCAATTTTTGTAAATAGTATTAGTTGTAATATTGGTTGCTATCTTGGAATCTTATTTTCACTTATTAAAAATAAAAATTAGTTTTTCAGAAAACGAGTTTTACTTTATTTTAATAAACCAAGTTAGAAATTTTTATGCCTTTTAAATCTATTTATGTAAGTTTTTTCTCTTATAAATCGAGTTGCTTGATTTTTTAATGTTTTTGGGCTCTTAGTTTATTAAAATATCTAACATTTCGAGTTACTTTTTTTAACATTGCATATCAGAGCAATTGTTAAATACAGTAACTCAAAAACATCAAAAACAAATATTTAGTAAAATTCTTTTATATTTATTAATACCCTTGAAAAGAGCACACCAAAACATTTAATTTATAAAAAAAAACAACACTGTGGGTTCAAATCTAAAGGTAATCTGAAAAACCATTTTAAAATAAATAAGTTGCTCTACCTAAAACCAATAAATTTTGAGTTACTTGATTCTTGCTTTGTACGACAGACTTAGACAAAATATTTCGCGATTATGATTTGAATAATATTTCGATTAAGAAGAAAGTTGCTTCATAAAAACGGAATTTAAACAAATATTGTTTTAATTTTAATATATGTTTTTATGTTAAATTATACGATCTTAACCTTTAAATTGTCAGTTATCCGGAATTTCAATAATTCTTTATAAGAAGCGGCAACAAGGTAAAAGCATATCGACTCTGGCTGGAAGGTTATAAAGTAGCCAATCAGATTTTAGGCTTCATTATGACGATGTTTATAAATCATTGGCGTTTCAAATTTGCTTGAATTTTTTGGAATTCGAAAAAATTCTTGCAGGAAAATTTGAAAAGAAAAAAATTTCAAAAAAATATCTTTAGATTAGAATTTGTGGTAGCTTATAGAAAAAAAAATATTTTTGAATTTCACTAAACACGCCCATTGTATGTTCCGACATGTGTGCACTTTTAAAAGGACTATTTTAGGAACATTTTTATGGAACACTCCACATACGGAGTGTGTAGGATAAAGTAAAAAATTTATTTGCAACCCTCTAAATCCAATGTTGACCTGCGGTTTTGTAAAATAGCAGAATCATTAATAACATTTCTAAAGATGAATAAAATAGTTCCATCGCCAATGGTTTGACCTAGTATAGTTATTTAATTGATGAGAAAATAACTATCCCATAACTAACCCATTTTAGGGTCGATCTTTTCACCTTTAGATAAAGTGCCAGGTAATTTTTATCTTCCAAGTAACTTAAAAAGTAATCTTTTCACTTCTGGATAAACCTAACTTCTGAATGATAACTTAACTTAGTTATGAAATTCCTGATAAAATACTTCACTGATGGATAAATAGGTAGCTACATAACTACATAAGGTTAAAAACTACTGGATACTTACCATACATATTATTTAATTGATAAAACAGAAAATTAATTATTTGACAGATAGTAACTCTCAGATAATATATCCGTCAGTTAGTTATCTGGAACTTTATCTGAAGGTGAAAAGACCGACCCTTATTTATACACCTATCACAGTACACATTATGAATATTACAAAGGTAATGAGTACAGGATCTATCTAGTTCACATTTTCTTTCCTTTAACAAATTGTGAGATCCACAATAGATCTCTCCTGTTACTGATGCGCAAAGTCCACTTCCACTTAAAATCGTCAAAATTTATTGTTATTATTTTTCTTACCCCCAGTTCTAATTACACATCCTCAAATGTTTTTGCGTTTGACAGTATTGATAGAGGAACCAGTAACAATTTTAGGTGTTATTTGCAAAATGTATAATTACAAATCTTCCATTCATTCTTACCTTGTAGAACATGGAAATAGTTTGCTGCGCAGTGAAATCTTGAAACTTTCACACATTATTTACATTAAAAGTTAGTAGAAAAAATTTGCTGCTACCTCCTTGAAATTTGACATACAGTACCTTCTTCTTTCCTGATGTTATATCGATTGCAACAAAGTATTTCCATCTTCTACAGGGTAAGAATTGACGATAAATTTATAATTGTCCCCTCTACACTTCTTATAAATCAAATAAAAATATTAAGACTTACCTCTGTAAGGCACGATCTCTATCAAACGATGTGGCGTAAAAAAGTAACTGACGGGTTTCAAATGGAAACAAAAAAGGGCACACCGACGCTATTTGCTGCAACCAGTTAGGTAAATTACCCGTCATAATGACTAGAGGATCCTGTAATTGCCTGCTCGCCTTGGCGGCAATTTTACTATTTAAAAATTCTGTAGGTGGTAAAATGTATTTATATTCGACACTAGGATATAAATAAGTCCAATACATATTGAGAGAGTTTAAAATTCGAAGGAGGCACAACACTTCCAAAGAGGCGTCTTGTATGGTAACTGTTTCAGGGAATTGGGTAACCAGGAATGGATCTAGGGGTGATTGGGAAACTGGCGTTACCCCTTCTGAAACACAGAAAAATAAATATATAAAACAATGGGCATTTTTTTAATAGAATCGAAATTCAGGAATAAATTCTTCAACCCTTAGGGGTGGAAGTAAATTAGATAAAAATTGCAATTTATTTCTGAATTTTTTATATATTCAGTTGCTTAAACTGACAAAATTCTGAATGCATGACTGTCGTATTCCTCAGATTTCTCTTAAAAAACGGCAACAGTGTAAAAGTACATAGCACATTTAATGCTGTTCCAAACATTATAAACTGTCAATGAGACTTAGTACTCACAAAATTTAAAAAATATTTGGAATGAAAATTTGTAATTTTAATTTAAACATATGGAAAATATTTGTGTTTCACTAAACGTGCTTATTGTACCTTAAGGACAACATGTTTTAAAAGTGATTGTAAAACTGCAAAAAAACTACTGATAAGAATGAAAACTTAGTTCATAAAACATATGTTTGAAAATGTTTATTATTTCTATGAAATTTTTTATTCTAACGAAAATAAATGACAAAGGTATTGAAATAGTGTGAAACTTGTTCTTACCATTCCATAAATCATCGGCTCTACGTCTTGAAGTATTTTTTCCTGACGAGCCTTTGCCTTTTCTACTAGAATGACTTGATGAAGCACCGCTGCTATTTTTTAATGATGTCGATGGTTCTTCTTTCAACGGCCGATAATATATTACATGTGTTTGGACCCAAATACCGGCATTACCTAAAAAAAAAATATATAAATTGTTGCATTGAAAATTAAGGAAAATATACATCATGTAGGACATGCCGTACATTGTGCTCTGTAGAATACATTCTATATATAAATATTGTTGACTGTCACTTTGACTTATTAATATAATAAAAATTAGTTAAAAATAGTATTGATGGGACTTTTCATGAAAAGTAATTTTTTAATGGTAACAAAAAGGTTTTCTTTACCGTTATAAAATTTTTATTTGATTTAAGAAGGTAACGGCAACCTTACAGTTACGAAACAGCTGGGAATTAGAAGTTTTATTTGGGACTAAAAATTAGTCACCACTGCTTTTATAAGATTCTCCATTTAGGTGCTATAAGAGTTTTATAGGAGTAGGGATTACGTTTCTTTAATAATTGATAGGTTCCTAGCTTTTATAATAAAAACGATTACCATTATAAAACAAAAAATGTTAGTTGGGAAGTATTATTCTTTGCTGAGAATTAAAAAAACAAAGTAAAATATATCTTACCTAAAGGAGTTTCATTATCAGTATCAGTCTCACTCTGGTCGTTCCCATTGTTACTAAATTGTCTCACAGCCTGATAAACAGTCATGTTATAAGGCAGCACATTGTTGCCGATAAGGAATTGCAACTTGTGCCTGGCGCCAGTTTGCGATATCACCACACTAGCTAAGGTATCATCTATATCGTCATCTGAGTCGCCGTCATCGCTGTCTGCGCTGTCCTTATCTCTGAGTCTACCGTATCCTCTTACGACTAAGTAACGTTCTATTGCTTGCACTAAAGCTAAAGGATCGATTTTCACTGTACCTCCCTTCCATTGTTTCAGATTTGAACATTCTGGGTGTCTCTGAAGATTGCACTAAAAAGTACAATAAATTAAAAAAAAAATATAGTTTTATATATAACTAAAATAAACAGTTGTTCTTAGTATTTTATTTCTTAACTGTCGAGTGTTCCAGTAATGCCAATTGTCAGTGCATAGTCTTAAATGAGAGCTAAATGACACTTGAAGGTTGGCGCAGATTAGATAACAATTTAAAATAACCAGAAAGATTTGTTTTTTCTTTTCCTCTCTCAAACAGTCTAAGATGTAATGGTAAACCCTTTTTTAATAGATGTAGCATAAACTTACCTTTAACTGGTGTGTATTGAAAAACTTTAGAGCACTAGTACCGCCTCTTCCAGCCCCCGAACTGGCAGGCAGATCATGAACCTTGACTGGAAATTGCTCCAACTGGGAAACGCACCCGTTGAGTTTTGCGACCAGCGCACCCATCCAAGTAGAATTCAATACAGCTATATCTTTCACATTGCTATCGATTGGACAACCCGCAAAAACGTTCAATAATATTCTAAGTCTTTGTTCTCTGTCAAATGGTCCGTTTATGTCAGCCAAATAAGAGAGTAGTGCCTTGATGAGACCCGAATAGTTAACTTCGAAAGGCGATATGTCCGATTCCATGAGGATTTCTCGTAGATCAAGAAGGGCTTCGCGACACGACGTAGTCGACAGTTTATCTATGGCTTGTTTTAAACGGGTAATGACTGTGGTTGCAGGGTGAGGTTCATCGTCTGTACTAGAGTAGATGTCTATAAATTTGGAAGCCTATAACATAAAAATATTTAGATTGAATATCACTCTATTATGATTTCATTATTCATTATAATATATCAAAAGTCAGTTAAATATTACATTTTTTTAATAGTAAGACTAAAATAATGAAATGCCGCTATTCTAGATAATACGTGTCTAGTACGAACATAGAATAACTATTGAAAAGAAAATTAGATGAAAAAAATAGTGAAAATTGTCAATTTATGAAAGTCATCAGAGAAATATCTGAAATAAGTGGTTCAATAATCTGAAAATTCGGAAAGAAATCCCCCTACGAATTAAATGCTGTCAAAAAATGATACTTTTGGGATGTTAGTAAATCCAAAAAAGCTATTTTTTATATTTATCTGACCAAAACACTGTTAAAGACAAAAAAATTCAAACCTGCTCTCTAATCCAAGATCTGGTTTTTTCTCTATTGCCTGCTGTAATGTGAGAATTTGATGTAGACTTTGACAAATTGTTTAAAGATTCTTTACTGTAATTTCTGTCATGTGATGAATTCATACTTCTTCCCCATCGAGCTGGATTTAAACTTTGTAAAAAACTAGTTTTTGAACTTGAGCCTGAGTACCTAGGTCTTGATGAATTACTAGAAGAAGAAAATAGTTCGTTAGTTAGTTAGTTTTATTATTAAAATATAATCCTATAATTTTTTTATATATAAGCGAAAATGTATGCAATAATATACACAGTGCATCAAAACTTAAAACAATAACTGCACCTGTTATGCAACTGTTTTTATTTATGCCCCAATCCAAACACAAATCTATAAAAATAAAATTTGTACAAAAGAGTTGTAGCAATTGGTATATAAAAGAACCATAAATAATGTTTGTTAAAATTGTTCACAAATTTTAGGAAAGATGAAAATTCATTAACTCAATCCCACATAAAAATAAATGTATTACATTTTTGGCCTTAGGCCATCAACAGGTCTACAATGAGAAGAAAAAGTGGTGTTAAGCAAGTTTAAAAAATATAAAAATTTTTACATAACTCACAATTAAATGACAAGCACTTACAATATATTACAGTCCATTCATTTAGTATACAAATATATTTAATTAAAAAATCTGAAGAAGAGAAAATAGTATAAGTTAATTAGCAGGGTTCGGAGGATATATATCAAGTGATATATGTCACAATATATATAAATATCATGATATTTATATCCGAATGTTTTCCAACATTCTAAACATGCGAAAATGTCTCAATACGCCCCTGTACAAAAGTATAATAACTAGGGATTTATTCGACTGTTTCGCAAGCATCGCCGCGCCGACTTTGGGGTACCCAGCTTCGCCACGATTTGTTTTGTTTTTGCTGTTTAAGTGTATGAATCAAAATAAAGACAAAAAGAAAACGAACGACTGGTCATGGGAACCAGCCTTATCTGAAGATTTTAAAGTTATTGTCACTAATATGAATCACATTATTGATATTTATAATTCATCAGATGAGAATATAAAAGTTATACAGTTGACAGTGAAAGTATAGGCAATTTATGTAAAAAGTTTTAAAATATTTAAAATTTTGTATTCCATAAATTTCTTGGATTGTCTAATAGAAATAATAGGGAACAAACATTTTTTAATTATTGTATCATTGTATAGGTCACCTAGCAGTAGTTGTATAATTTTTTTAGATTGTTTTAACACTTGGGCTGATAAAAATGTATGTGATAATTATTCTCAAATAGTTATTATTTATGGAGATTTTAATATTGACTTTTTAACTAAAAACACATACAGCACGAAATTTTAGTTGATATTAGAGTAAAAAACAATGTGATAAATGTGGTAAATTTTTAATAAAATTTGTAAGAGTTAAAAAAGGTTTGGGCAAAGAAACCAGGCTAACATTCTTCATCGACATTCGGGGTTATGATGGACAAGTAATGTTATTTTTAACAGACATTTTATTTGTGAACAGGTTGTTATTTCTGTGTCTTTATAAAATAACAGACCTGTTAAAAATAACACAGATTGTCAATCATAACCCTCATTGAGATACGTTGATCAGCAGTTTTTGAGACCATTAACGACTGGGTTCAAATTGAGCACCTATATAAGAAGTATGGCAAATTGGATATTGAGGTCGAGACGCGAGGGTCACAAAAATCTCTTAAAGAGGAAATAAAACAAATTTAAGACCTTTATGAAAGAAATGTAACAAAAAAAAAAATACATTGTATGGACTGATTTGTTACCCATTTATTAAAACTTAAAGTATTATTAAAATTAAAATATATTAATTTTCCCTTTGCAAACGCAAATATTAAAACATTGTAAACCATATTGAATTGTTGTATCTTGTAAATCCTGAATATTTTGTATTTAAATACTTGCTTTATTTTATTTCAAATAAATATATATATATAGTAAATATATTTACCTAGGAGTAGAATTTCCTATAGATGCAGCTTTAGTGAACAGATCTTGCATCAGTGAAGGTGAAAGAGGCATCTCCTCATGCCTAGTTTTAGACCTACTCGAACCTCCTGCTCTTTTCGCTACTCTTTTTCTTTTCAAAACATCACTAAGTCGTACGTGCGAAGGACTAGGTGATCTCGTTTCGGAATCCTGTAATCTTTGAGTGTCAGGTGTAGATGTATACAGTGTAGAGGAAACCGGTGTAGTTCCTAACACGGCAGAACCGTTTGCGGTTTGTAACGTACTGTTAGCCGATGATTGCGATGTCCCCGGTTGGGATTCATTCATGCTCGATGTGAATGAAGTAGCACTGCTGCTCGTTTTAGGCGGACTAACTCCTAGAGGAACCTTGAGTGAGAAAAATAGCTTAAAAATACATATCGTCCTTCGATTTTTAGAATATAATTCAAATACTTTTGATTCACATTGTAAACAATTAAATATTTCTTTATAAACAAGTTAGATTCATTTATTGCCTTAAATGATTCAATGAAAAGTTTACAGTTTAGATAAACAATAATTTATATTGGTAAAGTGATTGTAATCCATTCGTCACTGAAGTGACTCTTTGGACCAAATTTGATTTATACATGAAAATTTAAAGAAAAATAACTATGCTAACAAACATTAAAGGAATTTAAAACTATGCAAAAGAATAAAATAGACGAACGAAATTTAATAGTCAACTTTGTTCAAATACCAGCCCAATCATATTTAGAGATACTTTTACAAATTTTTGTTTATATTGATCAACAAATTAATGTATTCTAAAACGATTTGTATTCAGAACTATTCTATAAACGTACCTCTGGATCGGCCAGTCTGTTAATTTGATGTAGGACGCCTTCCCTTCTAAAATGCACGCCAAACTCATCTGGTAACTTATTCATTAATATTTCGGCCATTTGCAATGCTCCAACTACGATCCTTAAATCACTAGACGCCATCATACCCGCAATGTGACTACTAACCACTTGATTCTTCAAGACGTCCCGTAACAATTCAGAATTAGCATAGTACACCATCCTTAACAGAGCTCGAAGACATTTGAATCTAACAGCTGGACCTACAAGAAATTTTTACAAATGAAAATCAATAAATAAAGTGGCCATTTTCTATTGATTTTGGGCAAAGTAATTGTGAAATATTTACACTTTGAATACATAGATTTTCATCATTTATATAAAAAGGAACAAAAAGATTCTGAAAGTTATTATTCAAATCAGTTAGTATTTATTATTTCTTACCTGCACTTGATGAGTACACTTCATAGAGCACAGTGAACAGAGAACGAATGAAAGCAGCTGCCAATCCTCGTTCTTCTCTAAGGCAAGCAACCCTAGCATCTCTACTAGCACTGAGAGGCCTAGTAGGGGCCTGAGTGGGCTCAACTGGACTAGCTTGTACACTAGTGGGTGTAAACCGTCTCTGTAATTGAAAATATAATAAATAAGAATTTCGAATCATAAAAATGATGAGTTAGGGGCAGATTATACATTAAATATACAGCAGTTAGGATCAATAATTTTTTTTAAGAATAATAATAATATAATAAAAGCATTTACTGTCCAATATTTGAACGCCCTGTACATGTAATGTAATAAACAAGCTGATATTCGTTTGTATCACCCAAAAAACTTATTTTCACAAAATTTGGGTATCTATATTCAAAAAATAATTAAACTATCGTAAAAATATTGAAAAAAAAAACACATTTTCTCCACCCTATAACTTCTTAAACAAGCAAAATAGTACTAAGATAAATTTGCTTAAAAAAACTTATTTTTTACTGAACATCCTGTACATAAGATACTCTAAAGCAGTTTTTCTCAAACTATTTTGGCAACGGAACCTTTATTAAAATCATATCCTCCTTCCTTTTAGTGACTTCCAAAAAAAGATCCTCCTCCCTCTTAGTGACTTAAAAAAAAAGGACCTCAAGCCAAGACCTTCCCTTTTGTAACGATAGTACTGCTTTTTTTATTATGACTTATTTTCTTCGCGGAGCCCCCATAAAGGCTTTGCAGAGCCCCAGGGCTCCGCGGAGCACACTTTGAGTATCACTGCTCTAAAGTATTAGTATATTAGTTACAAACTTCAACAAAACAAATTATTTGTACCTGAACAGGTCTAGAAGTACCAGTATCTTCATTAATTTGTTGCATCGAATGAAAATCTATGGTGTAAATTCTTCCTAAAGTGTTTAAACTAACTTCATCGTCGCTATTCAAGTGTGCAGCCTCAATTATCCTACTATCTACGGCTCCATACGGGTGCCACAATCCTCGATCGTCTCTCCATTGCCAACCAGGCTGATCTTTAGAAATAGAAGTTGGACGCTCTAAAAGACTGTCTACAGCGAAAATACCATCTGTAGGTAATTTGGGCATTAGTTCGCCTATTAGAGCAGTTATTTCAAATTGCTCTTGTGGTTGTCTGAAATAAATATGGGGAAATTAAAAATATATAAACATTATGTAAAGAAAATTTTAAATACAAAAAAAATATACAAAAACCTAAATGGAAAAAATAATTTTATATAGAATATGAATCATAGAATTGGAATACATGTTCTATACTTTTAAAATAGAAAAATTTAAATAACCTGTATGCATTAATATACACAGTGCATCAAAACTTAAAGCAACGACTGCACCTGTTATGCAACCTTTTTATTTATGCCCCAATCTTGACACAAATCTATGGAGATAAAATTTGTACAAAAAAGAGTTGAAGCAATTTATTGGTATACAAGAGAACTTCCATAATCATTATTTTTATTAAAAAGGTTCACCAATTTTCGAATTATACATACTTACAATTGATTTATCTATATTTTCATAGTTTGTTAAAAATAATTATTATTGATAGGAAACAAGATATAACATTGTCACTTCTAATACCTATTTTATGATATTTTTAGGTACCTACATATTTGTAAACTTTTTTATCAGACCATCAACTACCTTTGATTCCCCCAATTTTAAATCTGGATCAGAAGAGTTGCTGGAAGTTTTTAATCAGTCACTGGTGCTCTTGGGAGAATCTCCCATCAAAAAGAAAAGACTAACTAATCAAAAAGCAGAAAAAGTGAAGGTAGTGATCGAAAAAATATATGAAATTTTAGTCACATCTATTAGAAGGCATTCTAAATCAAGTAGCATAGTATAAAAAAATCACTAATAAAAATTCTTGATTTTTTACTACAAAAAGTATCGTAATATACTCTAAAAATTGAAACAAACATTTTAAATTTTGTCCCAAAGTAGATCTTTTATTACCGACAATTTCAAAAAAAAAGTGGTTCAAATTGGTTAATAAATTCAAATTTTACATGGGTGATTCCAATCTAAATAGGTCGCACTGTATATAAATATGAAGATTTATCTGAATTTAAATAAATGTTATCCATACATACCTTGGTACCAATTCGACGTCTTCCTGACTGAGCTCGGCGGATCCTGTCAATAAATAAACCAGAGTTTCGGCTATATTCTGCTTCAATAGAGTCAAGGCAAGATCGGGGCAATTAGCGCACATCACAGATAACATCCTCAAGACTGTTATAAACGTTCCAGTACTGACAATGGGAGGAGTTACCACCAGTAATTGTTGAAGATTCGTCAACAATTCCGTGCTGGCAATTTCTTGAAGACGAGACGGTTCTAATTGAAAACTGTCGACGAGGCGCGAGAATGCCAAACAGACGCTTTCGACACATTTTTTGTCTTGCTGGGTAAGTCGAGAAGCTAGAAGCGGTAACGATTCTTGAACGTATTGAAATTCCTCGGAATTTAAGTTTAGACAACAATTTGCAGTGATAGATAAGGCGTTACGCTGGGCGTTTATGGAGAAGAAGTCGAGGTACATTAAGCATGCTGACACTCCTCTCTGAAAAGAAAAAATATAAATAATACATAAGAATAGCCTATCATTCTTTTTAGGTACTTTAAAATTAATAATACATATATTAATTGGGGACTAGTTAAAAATTTAACTTTGAAACTATTCAATATTTAACATGTTGAGTACGGGCGTGAAGAAGAAAAAATCAGGTCAAAATATGACACTCATATTAATTGGATAAAGCACAATTTATATATTTTATATTAAAACTATTTTTTTTTTTTTTGTCAACTATTTCAGGCTTAACGTTCTTATTTTCAAGACCACCTAAATTTTTCTATTACTATAGACGGCTAAGAGCGAGTTTCCTATATTTGTAGGATTATAGTGAAGCATACTATAATCAATGATAATGTTCTTATTGTGGCATCATATTAACGTCTCGTTGTCTCAAAAAGGACAAGCACTGAGGCACTCGTTAAATGCCACACCGTACTCAACTTGTTAAAAAATTTGTTGGTTGTCATTTGTCATAATATCATTCAATACATTGGATTAAATACTAATACTTACAGCTTGAAGTATTGCTTTAGAATGTCGCCTCGATAGCATATCAAGTGCGGTGAGAGATTGTTCCGCCACGTCCATACACTGAATCACTTGTAATTTTTCTAAAAATACAGGTACTGCATCCACTACTACTGCTGAAGACCTAGGCAACGCTTCCATCATGTAAGTCAACGCTCGACAAGCATGGTTCATCTAATATAAATAAAAACAACAAATTTGTTAAGAAAAACTTTCTAAAATAATAATAATATAAAGCTAAAAAATAAGTTCTATCATGAATCATTTCTCAAGAAATTTGTTTAACATGTAGAATTTAACTTACAATATCAAAATTGTGTTCCATTCCTAATAAAGTTATAAGAGCAGGAACAACTTGTTTGACAGGAAAGCCTGTTAATATTTCTTCATTTCCCATTACTAAAACTTGGCACATTTCTATTACAGCTTGCAACTGTTGGCCTTCGTCGCCAGTGGCCTGCAGACCGGGTATTAGGGCTTGAGCTCTTGCAACTGCTAAAAAAATAAATAACAAATTAAATATACACAACACAATGATTTTTGTTCTATAGTTATTAATTTTGTCATAATAAGGCATGTTTTAAAATTAAATCAAATTTAAATTAATATTATTACTTTTATAAGTTATAAATAGCATTGGTAACATTTTGTAATTATTTCAGAGTATTTGAAACATTGTAAAATGATAAAATAACAAACTGCAAGAATTCATTGTATTTTTCAAATCAATAAATCATTTTTTGTCAGGTCATAACTTAATTATCTTACTGATGACCTTGAGATTGTTAAGATTATCTCAAAAATATGATCCATTTCAACCCAATACAAAATTCAGTTTACATACTCTCTAGTCTTTCAAGATCTAATTTGGCAAGGTGTCATCCATGGTCATAAAAGCTGGAGATTCCTATCTAGGCAATCTCGCTAAAAACCTTGCGCCTCCTCAAAGGTTTTTGATAGGAAAAACTACTAAAATATTGTATTGTAGTTATTGTCAATAATATATTCACTTTCTCAACCGCTTTCAATGTTTCATAAATTAGATAACATATCTATAAAGTCTAGTCACAAAATCTGGAGAAACTTTTATAATATGGCAACGTTGCAAACTCAACTACCCCATGTGTCATGTGCCAACAAAGGTAATTCGACGATTTATTTTTTTCATTTTATGTTTTTATGTGGAAGTAAATGGTTAAACAGACAGTACAATGCATTTAATTTTAATATAAATTAAATTAGCAAATGAAACATAATTTTCTATAGATATCTAATTTCAGTTAAAATGTAGCAAAAGTAAGTTACTTCAATTACACTATCATTAAAACTTCGAAATTGTCACATACATATAGTATGATAAAACCAAAATAACCTATAAAATTACAACTTATAATTCATTTTTCTCAAAATGTTGTGGATTTTCCGCAATTTGTTTTTTTAGGGACTTACTATATAAAATGAGTACTTTTTATTGCAATAATTTTTTTTTTTCTTAATTCCGACTCTCTTAACCTTATAAGAACCCAGTACTTATTTTTATATAAATAAAATGCCTGGCCTTTCCTTAATGTTTTCAGAAACCTTATAAAATAATTCGTTTTTTTCAATTCTGGATAAAAATGTTATTTTATTGGAAAAATAAGAATTATTTGTTTAATTTTTAATCACATTATTCATTATATAATTGCCATTTATTTAAAAATACTCAGTAACTTTTGTAAAATTCATAAATTGCTTTATAATATTTACGAAAACATCTATAAGCTTTTCCTATCAAAAATATAAAAAAAAATGTAGTGAAGACTTGATGGTAAGAATTCTAATGATAATCATAATATAATAAGAATAACTGACCGAACTTTTAAGACGAAATTAAAAATAATGAACCTAAAAACTGCATTTGAGATATCAGATCAAAATACCATAAAAAACTTAATTATATTAAAATTGGCACCTATTCCAATACAATTAAACTTGCCTTATTATTAGCAGACAAAGATCAAAATTGATTGTTTAGTACTTACAGCTGTTAGTTCCCATACTTCTATGTAACATTTGCTGCATTCTGGGTCCGAGAGCTCCAAAGAGATGCGGCGGCAAGCCCCTGGCTTCCAGTAGCGCCTGCAGTCTTCCCACCTCGCTGTCATCGCTTTCTGAATCAGCGCCAGGTCCTGACGGTCCGCCACTGGCCGGCACCGCTTGCGTGGCTTCCTGTGGAGATGGGGGTTCTTCGGAAGCTGAAGCAAGAAATGACAATTCGTCATTTAGGGAAGACAGGAGGTTTAATAAGTTCAAGGTTTCCATTTTTAAAAATGTTTTTAAACGAACATTTGACAATGTCAATGCTGATTTATCTCATTGTTACCATGACAACTGAAGGTTCTCGACGAAACGGCGTTTGCGTAATTTTAGAGGGACACGAAATTATTAAGTATTAAGGTACGTTTACATCTGATATTTATTGCATGATATTTATGTCTGACAGTTGTTTGGCCCAGTGTAAACACAAAAATTTCTCTTGGAGATATATATGTTTGAGTGTTTACACATTAGAATATGTTTACACTGAATAAACAACTGTCAGACATAAATCTTATGCAGTAAGTGTCGAGTCGAGAATCGACCCCCAGGGCATCGATTTTCGACTCCTAGGAATTTTTTCCTTTAGGAATTTGTGACATTGTTCTATACATCGGAAATTTATGACATTTTCCTACATATAGAAAAGTGTTACAAATTCCTATAGGAAAAGGTTCCTACAAGTCGAGAATCGACCCCAGGAAGCGCTGTACGTTATTTAGCGAGAACCACAGGAAATTTAAAACATCATATTTGTAGATTATACAGTGAAACTTATGAAACAACATAATTTTTGCGTTATTTTACAAAAATTGTAAAAAATACTCGGATACCTAAATTTTTATTATTGATAAAACGCATTTTTATTATAAAAATATCATCCCATATTTCAACCTCTGTTTGTGGTACATATCCCCTTGAATATTTTAAATAGCATTAACGGTAGCTCATTTGAAAGGGGTTTTAATTCTCTATTCGATAGCAAAATAATTTTTTCTCGTTTTCTAGGAGTATATAGCTATTTAAAAATGTCAAATATTTGCCCTTTTGGAATAAATACATTTAAATAAATTTTGCGGGATATTAACTAGTTTAAAATAGCGAATATTTGAAATAATTTAAATACCCCTTTTCGTCCGTGTTTCATACATTATTTTTTTATTCGAACGTGCTCATAGAAATTACATTCAAACAATTTCTAACAAATTAATTAATAGAAAAAACCAATAATAACAATAATATTAATATCCCTACACATCACTCCCTCACGAGTGAACTCCTGTGTATCTATTCTTGAATCTTAGGGAGTAGAAACTTTGAGGAAAGAATGAGACAAAAATATAAATTTTGTACGTTGCAGATAAAGAGGAAAAAGCGGTTTTATATCTCTCGAATTTAAGAATAGCTACCCAGATAACAATCTTATACTGGGGAGCTTATCATTATTAATAACTATTGCTCCCTAACCTCTATAGATCAGGGTCGATAATTTTTTAAACCAAAAAAATAATAGTAGGATGAATCCTGTTAAAAAGGGACGAGAATATAACAAAAATGTAAGGAAAAATAATTTACGGGCGATCTGAGGTCGGGAAGTGGAAGGGGGTGAGTTTTTAAGGGTAAAAAACGGTGTATCTCTCAATGTAACATAGAATCTTACGTTTTTCAAGTAATTAAAGTGTAAATTTTACTAAATAGCTCAAAATTGTACATAGTGATACTTTTTTTAAAAAGCTGATATTTTGACGCGAGAATTTTCGATTGAAAATTATGGTGTTTTTTCGATATTAAGTCAAAATAAGGTGAAAAAATAAATATTTCAAATCAAAAAAGTTACAGTGTCTTTAGGACATAAAAAGGTAAGTTTTCACCAAATTTCGCAAAAAAAATTTTTTTTGTATAAGATAAAAATAAAAAACCAAAAACTTGATTTGAATTTTTCGCATAAATTTTGAGGTTTTGTGAAAAAAGTGTAATTACAAAAGTTGTAGGTCTCTTGATTACCTGCAACTTTGTCATTTAATTTTGTCCATAGAGTTTTTTGCCGGAAATCGAGATACACCGTTTTTTACCCTTAAAAACTCACCCCCTTCCACTTCCCGACCTCAGATCGTCCGTAAATTATTTTTCCTTTCATTTTTGTTATATTCTCGTCCTTTTTTAACGGGTTTCAACCTACTATATTTTTTTTTCATTTTTTACCATTTTCAAAATTATCGACCCTGGTCTACTAATCCATCCATATCCATTAGTTTTTTTGTTATCTTAAATAAAGTAATATGTACTTGCTTGCACTAGTCTATTGTTATTAAAATTGTTAACAAAACTAAATTATTAAATTACTTACTATGAACCATTATAAAAGGTTATTCAACCAAATGTTACTTAAACATTACAGTCACATCACGTCGAGGTAAAAACACAAAATAAATCATAACAAGACTTTTACTTGAGAATCACAAGGTGAGACTAATTACAAAATGAAACTTGCACTGGATCGATCGTAAAATGAAAGTAAAATATCATTAAATTACTATTATCACTGAAGGAGGAAGTATTAGAGATAAAATGGATTTAATCATAATCCGAAAATATTAACTGTAAACCAGGTAAACAAAAAAAAGGTCCTATAAATATTTACTGTTATTAAAATTGAATTATAAGAAGTTTCAAAACAGTAATTTACTAATCCGGATAGCTTGGGTAATGTAAAATAGTTATTTGACAATGTATATTTTTTGCAAAATATTGATTTGTCAAAGAGGTTTCTCAATAATTTTTTTTGCTATAAATTAATTTTATAATAAAATGATTATTTCAGTATCTATTTAAAATGTTTTACTTTCCGCTACATGTTAGTATAATCTACGGCCAATTGTTTTGATACGTTTAATTTTCGATTTATGCTAGTACTAATATAAGATTCTAGAAAAAATAAAAAAAACCGGATAAAGGCCTCCGATTATAAAATAAATTATGTATTAATTAAAGTGCAAACCTGTAAAAAGGCAGATATTTTTGAGAAGTGTAGGTTAATAAGTGTTGTTAGCATTTTTAAGCAGTAGTTTTTTTATTGGGTGTATAAATATAAAAAATGTCCCCTTCTCAGTAACAGAGTGACTCAACTTAAAAAACATTACTTTTGAGAATGATTGAAAAGTTTTTAAATTTATGGTTATCGCTTTTAATTGATTTATTTTCAATAAAAGTTCAATAAAAAAAATATTTATTTAAAATTATAAAACTTCATTTTAAACCCTAAAATTATCATATCTAATGATTATTTTATAAGATTTATAAAATAATCATTATTTAATAAAAATAAAAATGTATGGGGTCGTAGGAAAAATAGTGTACATAACTCGTTGAAAAGTGTATTCATTGCACTCGTTACGTTTCCGCACTCGTGCGTAATATATCACTTTCCACACCTGTTATGTAATATACTATTACATGAAATATGGTAATGAAATATAGTTAATACTATTTTTTTGAGGTTATGTAACTTGTTTCAATTAGTGATATGTTTAAAAAAATATTTGGAATTATTCTAATCTAATTATTGTCATTTATATACAGGGTGGCTCACGCTCAACGGGACGGAGCTTTATGGGAAAACGACCAAAGATATAAAAAATTCGTTTGGGAGGAATACGTAGGTTACAGACGGCTACAATTTAAAATTTGTTAGATGTATACAGGATGTCCCACATAAGAAAAAAAATTAGTTCATTAAAAATTATTCAAACAAGAGTAAACAATTAATTTCTGGGAGACTTTTTTCCTTAAAAATTCAAATAAATCGAAAACTAATAATAATAGTAATAGGGAACCTTTAGTTAACTGAAATTATTTTTGATGTAGTTTTTAATTCTAAAATAAAAAACAGGGTGTTCTATTAAAAATAATATAACTTTGTATATTTTCTCTTATGTGGGACATCCTGTATACATCTAACAAATTTTAAATTGTAGCCGTCTGTAACCTACGTATTCCTCCCAAACGAATTTTTTATATCTTTGGTCGTTTTCCATTAAGCTCCATCCCGTTGAGCGTAAGCCACCCTGTATAAATATAAAAAGTGTTTTTTTAAGAATATATCCTATGTATGTTTGCTCTTGTTGTTGCATTGTGACACGAAATTGGACCAAATTGATTAATTCATTAAATGTCTAAAAGAATTGTCTTCAGAGACTTGAATATGCCAAAATCGTGTTTATTTAACAAAAACACTTTCTGTTAAAATTCCCTCAAATTTGATATGAGAACCCTATTTTTTGACATTACGAACAACTCAGTGGTGACTTTTAAAAACCATTTTGTAGAGCATTTAAAGAGAAATTTAACGATGCAAACCACTTCTTCCTAGTTTAAAAGATAGGCAAGTTATTATCCTATTACCTTTGTTTTAAAGTTTACTCCAATAGGATGACTTTTTACAATATATTTTTAAGTAAAACTTTTCTCCAATCTTTGATTGTAAGTTTCAATTTATTTACCTATGAAGAAGAACCTGTTAAAAATCTTGGCAGGCAGTAGGAACAGTGTTGTAAAAACATTAAAAATTAATTCCGTGCAAATCAAATACTCACAATAATCCACCTCCATGATGGTACACAAACAAGGTTGGCCAGGGTAGCCCGAACAATTCTGCATACTTCTTTCTTTCTTTCTTTCTCGTAACTGATAGAAAAGGATAGAAACGATTTTCAGAGTCCAATGCTTGAACGGAACAGATTAAATCACTAAGAAACCACCTAACACCATTGCCACATATCAAAGTAGAAACAAAACAATTTAAAGTTTAAATCAAAGCTGTGAACCGAAACTGAACACCGAACCGTGGCCAAAATTTGAACAGAAAACGTTTTTAATAGAAAAATAAAATGCAACTGAATTGGTTGAACCGAACTGATGCTTTGACCCGAAATAAAATATATTCTCTTCTGTCACAAGAGACTCACCTAGAAGAGGGTGGGGGGTTGCGGGTAAATTGTCCAGTTTTTGTGCGAGAGAGAAGAACATAGAAAGAAAGCTCCTGCTAAGTACGGCAACGTCGCGAATAGGGGCGGAGCTATGAATGGTTGCTTGTCCATCAAAAGCATATTTATGATAAATTCCTGTTAAAAACAATGTTTACAAAATTTATTTTGTGGAA